CTGCTACAGCAGTGTGTATTAATGAGGTCCTCTCTCTATCTGAAATAATGACGTGAAAAACATTTTAAAAATCATCTTATAGACCTTCAAGTTGAACAACTTGTATTGTGGGTGGACCAAACATTCAGCTGGCATCACCAATAGGTACAGATCTTCAGACAGAGAATTAAATTATTCCCCAAAGGTGCCCTTCTCCTTCACATTCTGTTTGCAGATAACCTGTCACCCAAATTGTTCTGTTCCCATTCATCTTCCCTGCGCTTGCAAGCATTGTAATACCACATTGCAGCCTCCACGGTGTAGCATCTTCTACAGCAGGATCTCAGCACTGAGATTTAGAGTTGTTAGGCAATTCAGCATTGCAAAGTGAAATTCTTGCAAAGTGAAGAATCCCCAATGGACTTCATTTTGCAAAGGTGGAAACCAAGGAGCAAACAGGTTAAAAATAGCCTTTCTACCAAAAAGATGCCTTTGACATCAAGAACAATCAAAACCTAGCAAATTAAATTAATTTCTTACGGTCTCAGACTATGCTAGCAAAGGAATCAAGAAGAGAAACAGCACTTCCTCATAATACCTGCAGATTATTGGTAATTCCAAGCACAAATACAGTCTGGTTGGATGGGGCTTGAAGCAACCTGGTCTAGTGAAAGTTGTCCCCTCTACGCATGGGGGGTTAGAACTAGATGACCTTTAAGTGCTCTTCTAGCCAAAACTATTCTATGATTCTATGAACTATCTATCTTTTCTTTGTAAAGCTTTTAATTCCCATGTTACTCTAGAATAGCTTTCTTTTAAAAGTAACAAGTTATGCAATCTGTAGTGACGAATGTTCGAAGTAAAACATGAAATATATGTTTGAGAATACTTGGATACTGTGGGATTAGGCTTGTTTAGAAACAAATAAGTAAACGACTACCCAAGTAATCATTTACATTTGGCTACTGCACATTTTTCATTCATGTAAAGAGAAAGGCAACTTTGTATGTAACTAAATTCAGCAAATCTTGAGGAAGATCTCGAGTCTAAGAGGTCATCTGAGGGTTGTTTAATATTGGGACCAATACATTTTTCCTGATAATACAAGCTAAAATAACTCATGAGTCAGTTCCTCAAGAGAATTAGCATTTTCCTAGGTTTAATACTGCTATTCTTCTAATATAAAAGAATAAATTAACAGCAGTCCTATGGCATTTTCTAAAACTTTATTCAGAATTTTAAATGATTGATCTACTAATTTCAGAATTATAAACACAAAATTGGGGCTTAAATGTTGCTGGAAGCACATGCCCACAGTGTGGTTTCTGGAGATGGAGTCTGTTTTGTGCAATCAAACCTGAGGAAATGTTTCTGCTTGAATTTCTGGGATGAAGGTAGAATTATTTAGCTCATTCAGTGCTTCCACTCCTGTAGTTTCTGAGACTTATCACAAGACTAAGGGCATCCTACATGGCAGCAGGGAATGTAACTCATTGCACCTGAGCTAAATGCCAACCAATCTCCAGGACAGGGGCAGGGTGATCACATCAACATAGCACAATAATCCCATATAACACAGATAATTATTTTAGACACAACACCCTACTGGCCTGGCCATGCTTCCTTCAAGACCTGAGCTGTCTGAATCGTGCAGGTGTGTTCACCTCCTGACAGCTTGAGGCCTTCCAACAACACACTGACACAGCACTTTGGACATGCGTGCAGCTTCTTTCTCTACAGATTCCAGTGTATTAGTCCCCATCAGGGACCAGTCTCCAGCCTTGGATCCAGGTGGGGATGTCACATCTTGTGTTCCCTCACACAGAACATCTTGCACCAAAGAAGAAGGAAGTTGCACTGAAACTACTTACAAAGAATGGTTCCTGGCCCAGGCTCACCTTTGGATGATGCAAGGCAATTGTCTGGGGGGTCATCTGTCATGGTCCAAAACTGTACTCCTGTGCACCCCTGGGCTACTGGGCCTACAGCACAGGTGGTTACACATCAGCTCCTCTGCTCTGGGCTTGCCCTGACAACACTGCGATTCCAGGAGAGACATAGCCATAGTTAACACGGTTTTGAAGTAGATGAACCTGGGCTACATCACACTGACTATCGGCAGGATTGATTATTCTGGTGTTGGAGCTGGATCACACGGCTTTCTGTCGGTTCAGAACAAGCTCAACTGTGCTTACAAAATAACATGCAAATACATTATAACCCAGAGCATTATATAATCAGATCCTCATGCTATAGGAAACAACATGTTCCAGAAGTTCCTGGGAGTTTCTGCAACATGTTGCAGAAGTGTCTGTGATTTTGTGCAGGACCGGAACAAATGTGCAATTCCTTGTAATCCACAGGATTTTACATAATGTACAGTTACTTAGGACAGACCGAACCAAGAAACTGCTGCTGGTCAAAATCTCTCTGATGTCCATAGGAGTGTTTCTACAGACTAAGTTGTGAACCATATCCCAAGTTATTAGTAATTCCTACCACTTTATCATGGACAAGTCTGTGTGACTGCAGTGTTTAAGTAGATGCTCTACGCAAATGTTTTTGTATTAGAAGACCATGACAATATCTCGCCTGTCTCCTCTTTTGCACTGTTTCATGGGTTCATTTATGCTTCCTGCCATGATCCCAAATATTTCCTCTCAGTGTGATAAGTCAGATATAACACTGCCTTCTGTAGCTGAAAATGCTCCCTCCCTCCTGGCACATTGCATCCTGGGGGTCCAGGTCTTCCAAGACTAAGCCTGACAGAAAAGAACTACTATGACATCCAGGAATATGTCATTCCATGACCAGAGCAATAGATACAGCAGGACTGAGGAGCAGACAAGAGGAAGACTTGGAGAAGTAAGACAGGTGCCGTCCACATCCATCTCACGTTGTTTTCCATCCCTGGGAAGGACCAGGCCCCATAGCTTTCTGTGTCGCTCTTCTTTGATGAGCTCCTCAGGATGTTCCATAAGCCACTCTGCATATGTTCTGCTCATCCCACCAGGAGGAAGCTGGTGCAGTCCTAGGCTGAGCGCCGTACCAGTACCATGGGAAGCAGGTACATAGGAAGCAGCTGTACCATAAACCCCACAGGACAACATTCCTGACCATTTGTAGAAACACACTTTGAGGCTGGGCAGATGTTTTTAAAATGTGTAAGGAACCTTTTGTGAAGATATGAAGAGACCTCTCCAGTGTCACTCTCTGGGAAACAATCTGAGCACCAATAACAAGTACAGGAACGCCAGCACTGGAAATTTTAGAAGACTGGATCCTTGTATTTCAAAGTACAATAACCAAACTCCAACTATTAAACCAAACTCATGCCAATGTACTAAAAACAAACCACCTCAGTGGACTAGTTTTGCAAATATTTATTAGGAAATTCTGAATACCCAACTAATATTTTTATCAACCAGAAGTGATATAAATCAGGAATTTAACATGTCTCAGTAATGTCAGGTCAGACTTGTTCAGTTCATAAGCAAAATGATGATTTCTGTAACTAACATTTTTGCTCATACTCTCAGCCTGGGCTGTAGAAAGCTACCACTATGTAGTCAGTGCCACAGCCTCCAATATAAGATTCAAAAGCTGCAATCTACTTAGCAATTCTGAACAAACTGGACTGAAATCCTGCCAACTCTGACCATTCAAAATAAAAAAAAACAAAAATAAGGAGGTTGCCAAGAGACTGCAAAATGGCCTTAGCTCAGCTGAGCATGGACTAAAATTAAGATTCTTTCTTTGGTATCAGTGCTAAGTGCTTTGCTGAACTGGGGCCTTAAAGAAGACCAAGGTCACATCCAAAATTTTCAGAAAGTCAGTTCACAGGCCTTAAATAAATTCTAGCTTTGGATGAATGATATGGCATTTTCAACCTTATAAGCAATGCTTTGAGGTATTTAGCACTGAAAGGTGAAATTTTACAGGCTTATGTGTCTCATATGATTATCATATCTATCTCTGAAAGGAACAGCTTCATGCATTTGATATAGTTTGCAATGAGTTTGAGTACCTGTGTAGATTTTATACATGAGTAAAATAACCTCACCATTATTTTTTTAAAATCAATTATAAAAGACACCGCAATTTCAAATACAGGTTTTTAATGTAAGGTACCATGTATCCAAAATATTTCCCAAATAATTTATCAAAATCCACTACAAAATCATAATGAATGAAAGTTTTTCAGCTAAAACTTATACAGGTATTAAAAAAAATGTTGAGTGGCCCATATGCTATTCTGGAAGCAGATCATCTCCTAGTTCTTCATCAGCAAAGTCATCTTCCTCAGTTCTTTTTCTTGCTGCTGTTCTTGGTCTTTCTGCCTGTGGGCCAAGTGGATCTGTGTAGGAGGCATCTGGGATTTAAATAAATACATTTGAAATGGTTACCTGCAAGTAATTTTTATCACTGCACATCTGTAAGGCCTCTTTGAAATGCAGACCAGAAAGAGCATATGAACACTGAAGGAGAACAAAATATTGCATTTAGGAACTGACAAAGGGCACCAGAGCAAAGTTCCTGAGTGCTAGTGATAGAAGCCTTTTTCCCCACCTTCTTTTTTTTTTTTCTTTAATAAATTTCTCTTTATTATGTAACAGTGAGAAAAAGACTTTGGAAAAGTGCAAGGACAGCAAGCTTGATGACTTGTTTAAAGAATAGCTTTTTAGGAAGTACCACATTCCACATGGAGTTGAGTTTTTAAAACCCTTTGAAAATTCAATCTTATTGAAGATTTTATGACTGCAGCCCCACAGAAACTGATTCAAAAGATGCAGAAGACAGATATCGTAAGTAATATAACGTGAGCCACGTTTCCCAATATTTACAACTACTTTATAGTGAGCTCTGAACAACGAAGCTAAAATCTCATTTTAATGAGGAAAATGTTTCCCTAATTATCTAATTTTACATGCTCTTCCAATAATTTATTTTTTCCTCTCTCCTTATTTCTCCATTCCATGAGAGCCAGGAAAGTAAGAAGGCCTAAGATGTCCACTTGCCTATTTCTTTACTGCTTCTACTTTCATAGGGTTCATTTGTTCCAGGTAAAGCTTTTAGTTTGGCACTCAGTCTTTCCCCTTTGGTACCACCAGTGTCTGGGGAACAGAAAAAAAAAAAAAGGAACACAAATAACATGCTGTTATATTCTGTGAAATCATGATACAAGAACAACATCAATTTAGCTACTACTATCTGTCAAACTAGGTTTGGATGAAACCATCTTTTCATGATGGATACAGTATTCAGTTGTAATAGTGGTCTTTAAAACACAATGGACACAGTGTCCATGCATGTGTGTGTTAATGTTTTTTAAAAAAATATATACAACCTTATTTACTTTGGAGTAAACACCTTAAAATATTTCTGCTTCAAATGCTGATATTTCAGTTGATTATAAATCACAGCCACATTCTGGAGTTAAAATAAGCACAATGAATATAAACACCGTTACAAGGTATACAGGACACCTCCTATGTCTGTGTGCTTACCAATATATCAGTGTGATCCACCTGCTCCGCACTGTCAAGGTTAAATACAACACTAACTTTGCTTCTCATGAGAAGGGTATATTTGACACGTGCTGTCTGCATGGCAGGCAGGCACAGTTCATGTATACAGACCATCCTGGCCCTGCATCTTGCTGTAAACACTGTGCTGGCAGCTCAGCTTGCAGCGGGGCCCCAAGGAATGTGTCGGCTCCAAGGGCTGCCTCCTACCCAGACAACATCAGATTAACATTCTCTTGCCACAGCAGTATTCCAGACACTTTAAATATTCTGTACACCTCTCAATCTCTTTTTCACATTCATGGCAAGCTTTCAATCTCATCTGCTAAAACAAATTTTTAGGATATGTATTTTCTCCTAGGAGAAAACATTTTGAGTTTGACTTGGTATATTTAGAAGGCAGGACATGTCATACAGCCAAATACAAACGTGCTCATTTACAACACCGAAGAACACCGTTATTAAAAGTCTTCCATCTGTAAGGAGGAAAAATGGGTTTCATTCAGTAAACATTAATTATAAAGTCTGGACTTGGCAACACATTTCCATTGCCTTATTTACTATAAATGTTATTTTAATAAATATTCCTACAATTAAAAGGGAAAAAAAAAAAACAAAAAACCAAACTTCTACAAAGATGACAGACTTTAATTTTTCTATAAATACAATTGCAGACTTCCGTTTGCTCAGCCCTAAACTGGAAGAACAATGTCTCTGCTCCAAGAAAGATACGCTGCATACAATCACATGTCAAACACTTAATAAGTTCACAAGACACAGATTACAGATGAAATTTCAAAACAAGGAAAATGTATTTTAATGTAAATCCACCTCCCTCAGACCAAGTCTCACTGACAGTCTTCATGAAAGAAGTGAATACTTAACAAAGGATTTGAAGAAATGGAGAGAAATCACTGGGTTGGACTGGGGGGCTCAACCAAAGGGCTGTGAAACTACAAAAAGGGACAGCCCTTGAGTTCAGTGAGCTCTGGACAGGCCTGTGCAACAAAGATGGTGTGGATGAAAATGTTTTGAGGACAATTTAGAAGAAAATACAAAATTATAACAAGGAGAAAAAGAGTAGGATAGATGTAGGCACAGAGTCTTGTGCAATGGAAAAGAAATAATTTACAAGACAATGAATAAAACTGGAAGAAGCAGTAAAGAGTTGCAAAGACAGGAACAACACAGCAGAAACCAATCTAGGGGAAGACTGAGCTAGTCAAAGAAACTCCACAGGTTTAACTGATTGGTTCCAGAATGGAAGAACTAGGTATAATGAAAAAAAAAAAAAAAGAAGAAGATGGCATATCAAAGGTTTTTGACTGTGAAAGAGGAAAACACATGGGGTTTAGTGATACTACCAGAGGAAGGTGAAAGACTTTATATTAACTAAAAGAAGGAAAAGTAGGATGGTAAACAAACCAAACTGTCTGGGATAAACATAATACCCACAAGTTACCTGGACATCTCATTACCTAAAAATATACCATTGAAAACAGAGGCTTTCTTGGACATCCTAGGACCCTTAAGTTTTATTAGGGCTACATCCAAGCAGGGAATTATGCAGTAAGTTCAAAATTTGAAGCCAATTTCCCTCTCCTTTGCTCTCCCCACCTACTGGATGTCCAACCCTGCTCCCCCTTCCATAGCTCTGAAGTTCCTTAAGCACATATTGCTATGATTGAGTTGCCCCAAATGGCCATGCCTGTGGGTTGTTCAGCCTGTGACCCGGGAGCCTAAGCTCCCCTTTCTGTTTACGAGCCAACACAGTAAACGGAATTGTGCAGTGCTGTAACAGTGAGTAAATGTAGCTCTTCACACAACTAGAGCTTTTCAAGCTTCAGACTTGATCCAGTTGCCCAAACACATTATTTACTGTTTTAAATGGACTGGACCAACTCACCAAAGGGCTAGATTAACGCTAGAAGTAGTGCAAGGAAAGCAGCAAGAACACAAGAAAAGGAACGGAAAAAAAAGAATTGCTGAGAGGGGGTGGGCTGTTCCTTCCAGAAGCTGCAAGCTATTTGATCAATACATCCCACCTTGACTAAACACACCCTGGAAAAAACTATGAGTAGGTGTCTATGGGCACAGTGTCCTCTTAACACTTCAGCAGTAAGAACATACGGATGCCTTACTAGATTAAAGGTCTATCTAAATTGGCTTACTGTCCATACAAAAGATCACAAGATGCTGAGGGAAGAGCGTCTTAAGTAGAGCAAGCATATACAGTAGCTCTCCAAGAATAATTTCCTAGCCTCCAACAATTTGTAAATCAAATGTGCATTTGGGGAAACGGGGCGGCTCTTCGTGTTAATAATGGGATTGATTGATTTATTCTTCAAGAACTTGTTCATTCTTCTCTTGCGACCCTGTGAAATTTTTGCATGTGTAAGAACCTGAGGTAAGGAGTTCCACCTTTTGTTTCCTCTGAATCTACCACTCTAGCCCCACCTCACCACAGGAAGGAGCATCCTGGCCTTCCAGCCTGGCCTTCCAGCCCTGTGTCGTCATAACCCCTTCCATACGCTGTCCACTGGTAGCAGGCTCCATTGGAGCATTTTCCTGATACATTTAAAAGTAACCTAATGAAAACTCTTTTCCAGGTGGATCAGCAAAGTAATGCAGCTCACCTTATGTCTAGATGAGCATTATATCTCCAGCAAGAGTGAAGGCAAGGTTAACACCTCTTCTGGTAGCAGCCCACAGTTAGTTTAAATTAAGCTAATAGTCTCCATGGACTGCAATATGCTCTGACCATACCTAAAGACGTGGAAGAGGAGCATCTTTCCTTTGAAAGTAAGAGATGCTTGACAACATCTGCATCACACGGAGATGTCAGACAGCAGCTCAGGAAGAGAGAGGTCTGGCTTCAGTGCCTTCCTTCACCTGAGGGAGTTCAAACCCAGAGTTCCAGCTTTCAGGAGGAATGTCCTAGATGTTGAGCCAATTGGGGTAAGCTTTTCTTGACACTCTGCCATGGGATACAGGATTTGCCTGCCAATATGGCAGCTATTAAGAATTCTGTTGACCATTTAACATGGTCTGCTGGGAGTTTAAATCTCATTTTGAAGTTATTTTTTCTAGTTCTGTTTGCAGATAAATCATCTACATGTTTTTATCCAGTATACATTCACACATAATTTGGCAATGTTAAGGAATACAAGCTTGCAATGCAGACTTCAGGATTTTGGTATCCTACAGTGAAGAGAAATTCAGGGAAGAAATTGTTTTTAAAGCATTTTATCACAGACATGGATACTTCTGGGACGTGAGTTTTACAGATTCTACTCACCATTCCCTGTTGCCCTCACTCTATCCAGGAAAAAGATTTTATACGCATTTCAGCTTTTGGATTAGGGAATGAAACTAGCTTTCACCACAGTAATACACAGAAGAAAATAAAGTTAACATTGGGTCAAAGGATAATAATAAAAACTCTGGATAAAAAGCTTTATTTGTAGTTCTTCTCTACTAATAACACAGCTTTGAGTGTTAATGTCTTTCTGATTGCACTTGCAATCAAAGGACTACAGCTACACATTTCTCAAACTGCAATTTAATTCTATCTGCACTACCGTATTAACTGTACAAACACATGCTCCTAAATAAAAACAGCTTCTGAATAATGGAAAAACACTGCTGAACTAAAACGTTCTCTGTATAAAAGGAGTAATTTACTACAGTAAATACCTGTTCCCTATTAACTTTTTGTGCTTTTATTAATTATGTTATTATTATAGTTCATGTGGAGGCCAGTACCTGTGTATTCACTTTGGGGTGAAAATGTGGACACACACACATAAACTGACTGCAGGAACGTGGCTCCAGGTTTCAGTTGAAAAAGCAACAGTAACTGATTAGGCAGAGTTGGTCAATATATTTTTAAAATCTGATTTATAAATACATTTACGCTGTAAAACAGTTATACTTGAGACTTGGATTATCATGCTGACATGATCTTCCCCTCAGCAGCCTTAACTGGGGACTATGCATACAAAGACATAAATAATACACTCTGCACGCTGATATCTTTTACAGTGCATTCTTTCCTCTCATCTGTTTAGAAGTCATGGCCATAATACTATATTTAGGATATTTAACTTATTCTATTACAATATGTTCCATTCATTTAGATTTGTTCAACATCTTACAAAAACTAATTTAAATTAATTCCTCCACAGAGAATTTGGAGGGGAAAAAAAAAGAATCAAAGCATAAAACTTAGTTTTAAAAGATGGTTAGTTTTTATATGGCAGAAAAATAAATAAAGCAACATAGTTCAAGAGTAATCCTATTCTGTAATAATCCTATTTTAAGAACTGATATCTAGCAAAAAAGATTCTAAATCTTTTTATGTGTTTCTATACTTCCTGTGTCACATAATACCTGTCTATACTCCAACCCATAAAATCCACAGTATTTGTACTTATTTTTTAAAGGAATCTCACTAGTTGCAATTACAGTGATGAGACTACTGCACTCGATATTCCTCCAGTATCACAAAGGATGTAAATTAGAATTTTTAGTACTGTTTTACTCATCGGGAAAAGATAAAGAGTACGGTTGTTTGGTAACCCACCTCCTCTGAAAGATGTTTATGTAACAAAGCGCACAGTGGGTTAATGCTCCACTGAATCCAGAATGCCTTTTAATGCAGCTTTGTGTATCCTTCTTATTTAGAATGCAGACACTATCTTTGGAGAAGAATGGGCATTGGTTTGACCAAAGTGAAGTTTAGTGTAGAAGGCAGAATATTATATTAAAACTGTGAAATGGCATGGGAAGTGATGCAATTTTTAACTCCACTGCAGGTCATTTTGATTTGATGTGTCAGTTCAGCTAACTCCTTAGGTGAGTTCATAGCAGTAAACTTAAAGATATTCTCTTCACTATTAAGAAAACGTTTTTTCTATTTTGCACATGCAACCAATGGAACCATCCCACAATGACTTTTAATTAAAGAGGCATCAGCAGGCACACGAAGCCTAGAAAATATAAGCGATCATGAGGTCCTGGCTGCAGGTACCAAGAAAATCTCTTGCCTCTCAGTCAAGATTATCTGGAATGCCTACAGCCATAACATCTATAATGTGCTTCCATAATATATGAGGAAAACCCTATGGGATGGTAAGGGGTGTTTGAATACGGGATGGACAAACCCATTTCTCCACTGACACCATCACCAGTGAAATGAAAAAGGGAAAAGACACCTAAATTACTCTCACATGGTTTCCTTTCCAAATTCATCTGGACAGGCTTAGGTAACAAGGAGAATGCAAAGTGCTCAGCCTTTCATCTTCTGAATTCAACACTGCTTCTTTGGGCTCCTGTCCGAGACTCCATGGCTCCTCTCATCCAGTACAAAACCATCCATTCAGAGAGCTGGGCAAATGCAGAGACCAAGTAAACACTGCTATGGCAATGTACTCCTTAAAGTCATACTTTACATTATCTAAAGGCACGATGCTATTAAACAATAAAAATCTCTTATGGTCGTGAAAACCATAGCGCCCTAACTTCTAAATTCTGGATGTTACCATCTGCAAAACACAAAAAATGAGCATGAAAACAAGAAAATATTGTTGGAAAGGAAATCTTTGAGAACTGCCTAAACTCTTAGCTTCCTTCAGGGTTATGTGGTGCTTTGTTTCTGGTTTTTTTCTTTTTCTTTCTCCTTTCATATAGTAAAAACAATAATTTTAACAGGACCATATCAATGTCATCTCCTTCCAACATAAATCAAGTAAGATTGAAAATCATAAATCTGATAGTTGTGGGGAGAAGAAAATTTCACTTTTTATAATAAAGAGTGACAAATGCGTTCAGTTTTAGGTAGGGGTTTTAGATTTAATGCACATCTTCCTTACACGACAAGAGCAAACTTTAACTGATGTTGATATAGATGTCAGTTTTCTTGGGCTCCCCGCTACCATTCTGTTTACCATTCGTACATACACTAATCCTGTTGTTCAAATTGTGCTTTGGTGCATCTCATACACCTTCTGTTTAATTTATATTGGCAAAGTAGTGGATGCCCTTTGAAGTACAAACCCTGCTAGCTTAGTTCTCTTTCCACTTAGCTTCCTCTTTAAAAGCAATTGGAGATCATATTTCCTAGACCAAGGAAGTCTGAATTATTAATACTCATAATATAAATAACTATATAGGGACAAAATACTTGGGGGGAAAAAAAAATCTGTTAGGAATGCCAGCAAGTATGGGGACAGTGAGCTGGTAAGAGGAAAGAAATAAAACAGGCATCATACCTAAAATATCTGGAATGCATACACACTTCATTTAGCTAGTAAGTATGTTAATTTAGCTAGTAAGTACTAAGCTAAGGAGGATTGCATGCTTCACTGGGTTCCATAATGATGGCAAATCCCTCATACACTGCAGAAAAATGATCCCTTTTGGTCTTGGTAACACCACTGGAAAAGACTAATCTTAAAATGTATACAATTTTTTTTTTTAATTCTTCTTTTGAAGTCATTTATCAAAAGCATACTAAGATTATGAAATAAAATAACCCATGTTTATATTTCATATGTGTCTTGACACAGGCCACGTACGAAAATCTATTAAACTCCAAAAATACAGCTCATAACCCAGCTGAATAATGCCAAACATTGGACAAAATTACTTAGTAATCCTTAGTAAAAGGCAGACAAACTACAACATAGTCCTTAACATCTGATGCTGTGAGTGTGCAGTTTCTTCACTGATAAGGCTCCCCAGAGTCAACATTACCAGTTAGAACGTGCGTAACGCCTTTAACTTGTGCTAAAAATACATGTAAGTATCTCACCACAACTTTTAATTAAGAATCCCAGCAGACAAGTTAACTCCAGGCTCGATACAGGACCTTCTTTGTACCTCTGCTTGTTTGCCGAGTCATTTCCAGAGAGGCTGGATCTTTGGCACTGAATTCGTGTAACGAAGACTTCTCAAATGTGCTCTTATACAGACTTGTTCCCAAACTGGTTTTTTCCATTCTTTCATATCCTTGACATAATATATCCAGTGACAATCTAAGAATTATTGACAGGGCAAATTCTAGGTCAATTCTGTCCCTGCTTACCCTCTCATTCTCTTTTTTAAATGTTTTTAAATTTAAAAAAAAAAAGGACAAATTTCCATAGATACTTCTGTCTTTAAAAGAAGTACTGACACACTGGTAGTTAGAGGGATTAGTGTTGTTTTAGCATCCTTTCAGCCTGATCAGTATTTATATCTTTTGCTAAATTACTGACTCTCTCCTGGTAACATATCCCTTTTTCACTAACGAGGGTGGGGATAATTACCAAATAGAGCTGTAAGATAAGAGACCCTTTATGCCCTCTGCCTACATGTGCCATGTTTTGCACAGCTGTAAATATCCTTGCCTGCTACCAATGCTGCTCTTCATTTCTATTCATTATAAGCCAAAGTGGATCTTACTTTATGACAGAGAACAAGGATCAATCCTGTCTCACATCGATGTTTTTTTGGCACCTCTAGCTGGCTGCCTGATCACAGGGCTTATGTAACACAGGACAGACCAGAAACATTTCCATTCCTCTCTGTTACCAAATCAAGGAACTTCACTCCAAGAATTACTTTGGCCTGAGGCCCAGAACAGGTAAAATTCAATCCTAGGTGAATGGAGGTTCTTTTACATATCAAGAATGATTTAAAAGCTTCTCTAGTGAAACTACTGAACTGAAAAAGGAATGAGATTTCTCTTAAACACCCAGCACTCACTCTTAACCCTTAGAGAATCCAGGAGAGCAATATTCATAAATGTAACAGCATTCTAAGATCATCTTCAGATTACACTAATAATTTCCGTAACTTTTCATGGCCCTGTAGAATTTGATAAATGTTGTAGAATATCTGCTATGTACATGGAGAAATAAAGTTACCAAATAAGAAAAAAAAATCATAAATTATTTCTCTGTAAAAGGAAGGGAAGAGAGGCAGAATTTACAGGGGATATCTTTTTATGAGACCCATAGATATTAAGATAAACTAAAAGCACAATGCAAAGAAGCCATTTCCTTTTTGAGTCAAAATATGTTGTTTTTGTTTTTTTCCAGGTGGGTGAAGTAGCCTTAAGTCTGCTAGTTTCCTTAGAGTGGCAGTGGGGAACAGTTAGGTTTACTTTAGTAACATCTCATGGATTTAATAACGGGAGGGAAAAATCATTAGCTCTGCAATATACAGGCTACCTAGTGCAGAAAAGACAAAGCAGGACAGTTTCCTGACTTACATTCCACGAGTTTTATATTTATTAAAGTCAGCATTGTAAATCTACAGAAGCAGAGAGACTTAGCAGTCAGTGAGTAAGCTTTCCTCTAGGGAAGACTCTAGTACTTCACTTCTGCTATACTGGGAAAAGAGGAAGGAAGAACTCAAAGACAGTAAGGGTATGTTATCCTTATTACGGAGTTGGTTGCACAGAACTGTCTCTTGAACTTGTAACGAACACCTGACATAGTGGGTCAGACGGTGGGCAAAAAATTCCCTCTCCTCCATGTTCAATAAAGAAACAATGAATTCCTGGTTTTCATGGCTTATGTGTTCTGTTTTGTTATCACAAATGATTCCTTATAGCAAATATTCCAAAGTTAATGGGATAAAAGTGTTCAAATACCAAGTTAATGAGATAAAAATGTTCAAGTCCTCAGTACCAAAAAAAAGCAGAAATTTAGCCTTAGAAATACTCTGAGATCTGTATATAAAACACAAATGTTGGACCAAATCCATGCTACTGTACCAGTTGTGGTTTCATACAGCAATGAGATAATCAAAAAGTTCAAAATAAAATTTGTGAAGTACTTCCATATTGCTCAATGCATATTTGTGTGCATTTCAGAATGTAAGCAGGCTTTACAAACACTTTCAGAAAAACTGTTTTCTTTAGGATCCTGACAAATTGCACATTTAAGCAGAGGCCTCGAGTACTTACCACCACCTCCTTCTCTGCGGTTACGTGCACTGCCATCTCTGCCAGACTTAATGCGCTGGGGAACAGTGAAAAAGGTTTGAAAAGAACAGAACAAAAATCCCCATTTAGTAATATATACATAAAATAAATATATTAGAGATAATTATTGAAAATTCAACTTAGCTTATTAATAAAATAGTAGAACATTAAACTAGACTTACTATACTGCAACTAATAAACCCTCCTTTTTCAACATACAAAATTGTCCTTAAAATCATTGTTAAATGCAATGTTTATGTAAAACAAGAATTCTGTGAAATTCAAAAAGAATATCTCAATAAATTATTTTTCTTCAGATAAAATTTATACAAGGAATGTGCATAAAAATAGTTCAGATGCTCCTTTGTGAAGTACGGCTGAAAAAATAGGCAATGTAGCCCTCCTTGCATGAGTTCAAAGTAGCCTCTGCCTATTAACATCTTGTAAATCCCACAAGCATTTTATTATTGTAAAGACTCAAAAGGGAGAAGTACGGGAATCTATAAAAGGAGCTATTCACCCTATGGATCTTAGATTTTGAATTCTTGGCACAGCACTGTACTTCACAGCAAAATTTAATTTGCTGTTGAGTGTTAAATGCAAGATAAAGGTGAGGGTAAATACTTTAAAAGCTGTGTTTAAAAAGTCAGCTCTCTTGCAAAGAGGAAGGTACCATAAACATCCTCCAGCTGTGTTTTTTTTAAGTGTTACTCGAAAACTTTAACAGTTTATCAAAGCAATACCTCTACACATGGCAGACTAAGCTCCTCCTGGCAAAACACCGAATTTCTCACGCATGCATCTTGTCAATTACAAGAATGTGTATCTCAGCAAGGGACTTTTTGATAGGTAGGTACAAAAACTTGGTGTTTAAAGCATTCAGATATTAATACAGTATCTCTGCATCTTATTCCAAAATATGACTTCAGGATCTGAGTAAAACACACGTGCACACTACCCAACCATGTCTACAGGTCAGTTACTGAAGCTTCTTCATGCATTTTTCACCAGAAAAATGTAATGGAGTCTGGCAAAGTTGGAATGATACCAAAGAAGTGAAAGAACTTTCAAGACTCATGCCAACAGAAAAAGGAAGAACTCTTAAATCAAAACTCACAGGAGTCAGACAGGAAAGCATCGAGCCTCGTGTGAAACCAGGACTAGTCTTGGAGCAATTTAGTCTGGAACCAGAATTTCTCATACTTTTTATTTATTTTGGGAAATCCTCAAGTCTAAAATATGTTCTCTGAATTTTGTATTAAATATTGTTTTCACAGTCCAGTGAAGTAGCATATATCAATCCTTCAGGAAGCATGTTCAGACTCTCCAAACATTGAATGACTGACATCAAGTCTAACAATGGAAGCTCAGCTTCTATCCCTAGATGATAGTGCCCTCTTGGCATTTACATCATAGGACTTCACTCCCCAAATATTACATCAGTACTACACCTTAAGCATATGATTAATTCAAGCAAATAGTTTGTAAGTAATCTCATACTAAAAGCAGACATACAAAATAGGTTTCCACCCTAAAAATGCCTGTTTCTCTCCCATAACTGCAAAAGACATTTAGGATGATGAGCCCAGATGTAGATGCCTGAAGGTAAGGGCAGTAAGTCCCCTCCCAGCATTTGCACCTATCATCACTGCTTCACAGCACACCCCATCAGCCCCTCATTTTCAGTCATTAAGCTCCTTGACGGAAATAAATAGTAATGTGTGCATACATCAGTGCCAAGGGGCTTGAGTGACCTTTTACACTGTTACCTGTCTTTTTTAAACTGAAACATGAAAAAGGAAGATTAATGCAGCAAAAAAACAAACCAAAACCAAACAAAGAATGCAACATCCCCCCAGAACGCCCCAATGTATGAAGGTTGCAGTAACAATTGAATGCTGTGTGAGAGGCAGGGAGAAAAATTTCTACAGGGAATGAACTCCACAGATGTTCCCGGATTCTTGGCTGGAAGTATTTAACAACTTGTCCATATTTGAGAACTGAGGGAAATAAGTACTCCAGAATATTTATTTTGGTAAAAACTCCATGTGGATATACTTATTCTGGAAAAACAATGCCAGAATAGCAAATTTTGATAAATTTCTACAGGAAGACAAAGTCTGTGTGCAGACTATGAAATGCAGGTATACTACACTAGCATTTAACTATTTTGTGTTTACTGGGTGCAATCAAGAAAACATGGCTTATTCTGAAATTGGGAGCAGGAACTGAACTATATCTGGTACTGCTAACTGAAACCAGTATTCCTATTGGAAACTTAGGTGTTGAAATATTAAAATTTTGGTAATTTTAGAACTTGACAGTATGGTTTATGACTATATGGTCATGGATGACAGAAGAAACTTCTTAGGACAAAAAATCCCTAGTAATTTCCAAAGCCAGATGGTAGGCATAAGACTGAAAAAAAATCACACACAGACCCCAGCCAATGAAAAAAAAAAAATCCCCAACTCAAAACCAGGGTATGGAACCCAGATGCAACACCAATGGCAGAAAAAGGAACGGCAGGGCTGTTGTAGATGTTGAGATTCTGTTACAGAGATACTCAACTTCTAATACAGGACAGCCACATACTAAATTGCAGTGCATCCTGAAACATCTTTTCTTAGTCTTTGTTCCTTTATTATGCAGTAACTTGTGCTACCATGCATCTGTACAGGATTCCACTGATACCTCTGTCATTCAGATATGACAGGTACAAATTACCTTAATACAATGAAGTCAGAATGAGAAAACCCCCCATAATTTAAACGTAATTTCTGTGTTACTAAAATCTTAAGTAACTTAAGATGATTAAAACTTCTAAATATTCTACTGGCAGCTTTTTCCTCACCAGAAAGTACAGAAATGTGTTTGGGAGAGCTCCCACTTCCAATGTGAAATAAACAGGAAGAGATGTGACAATTTTTGTTTTGTTTAATTGGTGAGCTTTCCCAAGTAAAGTGCTGAGGTACTGAAAGTTACCGCAAAGAGCTACGTATATCACTGACATTGAACTGATACTCCCTAGAAACCAAGCAAAATCCATTTAACACACTTCAGAGAGATCTCCTAATTATGAGTTTTGCAGAATACAAACATTAGATCTGGTCATCTGTTTTGCTTACTGATATGATTATGAGGAGACATGGAGGAATATTAATCCCACTACAGCCGTAGACTGCTTTCTTCTGTCCATTTTCCCAAGTGCTTTAAATTTTACATTTACTGAAAATTTAAACCAATACACTTCAGCTAGTCCTTCAAAGTTGAGTTGTAGCATAAAGTTGGAATCCTTTGATCAGTGTTTCCCTTTGTGAGTTTCATTTTTAAAATGTCCTAGTGTCCATGCACATACTCAAGACTCCCTGGAATTTAAGTAAAAGTATCTAAGGATGCATGTACATATTATCTGGCATCAAAGGGGACCCAGTAAGTGTTACTAGGAGCACAGTAAACTAGTTAAGACGTGTGTCCTAATGTGACTATGTAGCTTCGAGGCAACAGGAAAACCAAACTTAAAACACTTTGCTGCTCAACAGCATGGATAATGCTTTTCAAACAAGCAGCTGTTTTTCATTTTAAACCCTTACTTTATCACCAGAATAGCAAGAAGACAATGCATGAGTGCACACACACACACAAACGTGAGCTCAGTCTTCTGAACAGAACACAAGTTATGATCTCATACCTTTCACAGTCTGTTGCTTTTCCACGCATTTTTTTTCAGTTTAAAAATTGGCACTAACACAAATAGTTTACATCTACCTTTGTAATATGTCAATGTTGCAGCTTTGTATATAACAAAAAGACAAATTCTTAAACTCCCCATTTCTCCCTATAGTTGCATTATTACTTGGCTCATAAGCACACTAAAGTATTAAATGAAATCTGGCAAGCAGGTAGGAAAGACGACATTCCAGAGACGTTGAATTATGCAAGTGGCTCAGGCATTCCCATCATATCCACACAGTCCATCTTTCACTAGTACTTAAAAATCACAGAAAATCTGGTACTCAGAAACTATTCAGACAGATATAAGACTGATCAGTAATTTAAAACTAAACTCCCCAAACCTCAACACATAAGCCTCTCTAAACCAGGAAGTTAATAAGACATTTTATCTTGAAGTAAAATAAACACTATTTTAGTTTCATCTCTGTACTCACCTGCTCTCTTATTTCTTTTAATTTTTCCACTTTCTTGAGCTTTGTTACATATTCCTGGACTTCTTTCAGCCCCATATCTGTGCAGAGACGAACTAAAAATCGAAGGCCTAATTGAAACACAAAAAGCACCATTAAAAAAGGCTTACAAGCAGGTCCAACTACAAATGCACCCCAACAGTTTGTCACTGTTGGTGACAAACAGTGCAAGCAACTTTGCATATAAGGTGACTCCAGTCCAGTATCACCATGTGAGTTGTGATATTTTGCAGGTAATTCAACATTTTCTGTGTGTCTATATCCATGAACAGTACAAATACCATTTATAAATGTGGAAGGCACAAGACATATTAACTCATCTGGCTCAGAACTCTTGACATTTGCAAAATATTTTGGAAGCTGGAAGCATAGTAATGATACTAAGATATTACTGAGGAACTGCTATCAAGAGCATTTTGTTGAAAACAATTTTACAAATGCCAACTGAATCAAAACGGTTTTTTTCTGTTGCTGTGGTTGATTTTTAAAGAGTAATATTTATAGAACTGAAAAAATCCCAACAAACCTGACATGAAAATCAACTATAACTGTATGATTGAACCAGAAGAGCCCCTAAAAACATTCTCCTGAGACACTATACCAAACTCTGAAGACATTGTTGCTATTCCTATGTGTTTGTCAACATTCCTTTGAAAGAACTGAAGCCAAAACAAGCATGACATGATCCATTTCTCTGCTGGCGCTTTCACAAACATGTTACTCATTTTGTGCTAAGTTAGTTTTCTGCTGGTTTAGGGAACACATGGTCAGTGAGGGATGAGCGAAGAAGCACTGTTTCAGCAGCAGAAAACTTAAATCAGTTGTCTTGTCTAACTCCTGCCTCTACTTGTGTAATTTGTAGAAACTACATTCAGAAACATCTTTGTATTCTAAAAGGTTTAGTAAATACCCCTCCAAAATATGTGTGACCAATATGAACACAATATTTTGCTTATAACTTTGAGGAGTTTATAGCACTGAACTTGTACAAGAGAGCTGTGTGATTCCTCTTTAAAAAAGCAATGCATTTGTTAAAGCAGAATGATCCAATTTTAAAATAAAATTGAATGAACCTTCTTCCCATGTTGCATTTAAAAGCATAAACTTGTTGGTGACAACCTCGTATTTTGGAATTTGTGAGGTAGAGTGTGGGATGTCAGAGAATGTTTTCACAACCACTGACAACCTCTATTTTCTATATGGCTTTCTTATTTAGAGTACAGGTTTTGCAAAATGCCTTACTCTTCAAAGATTTTCCAGAGACTGGTTGACCAACTATACTTAAAAACCCAGCAACAAAATCTCACCATCTATGTTTTTTTTGGAAAGCCTGGCTTTGGTAAAACTTAGCAATATGATTTTCTCATATCTAGAAACTTACAGCAGAAATTTCAACTAGCAGGAACTAGAAGTACAAGTACATATATTTTATCACAAGAAATATTTAATAAGCAACCTAGTTATGTATGAGAAAGAACTCAAACCAATCAGACTCAATAGAAGTTTATTTTCATCACTCTTCTTCAGCATTGACCTAGTATTTCTTAAATCACACTTTAGTGTTGTCACAGAAAACATGCAGCATTAGCATGAATAAAAATGTTATTTCATGAAAATATTTTCATATGAAAAACATGTCATATGATTACTAACACACATACTCAATGTAACAAAGTTTCCTTTGATAGTTGTACCACAGAATTAAACAACTTACATTCAACATTCTCTGGGAATTTTCTGTGAATGACTTTGTACTTCTCCAGAGCTTTCTGGTAGTTACCTGCAAACAAAACAAACACCTCCTATCCACACAGTCAAACATAAAAAAGAATATCTGATGCAAAATTGATACACTTTAACATCAATGCACCTTTTTAGTTAAATAATTTAATATTATAAGACCAAATTTGGTGAGACTGAACTTAAAATTCTTTAATTACTTAATTTAATAGCAATTCACTTCAACAGTAAAAATTAAAGGCATCTGAAAACAGCCCAAATTACTCTCTAAACAAGAGAATTAATAAAGAGCAGTTTCCTGATTTTTGCCCTTTTTTTGACCTTCCTCTAAGACTCCATTTCTACAACACAACTACTAGATGAGCTGTATCAAGCCTAACAGGACTTATCTGGGACTCCAAATGTATGGATTGGTCAAATGGAAATATCTAACAGCAGAGCTCTGTCTGTCCTTCCTGACATCAAAATAGAAATTGTGTGGCTCTCCTTTGCCCAGATCTGGCAGTGAAGTAATTATTCCTTAAGTCTTTTGCCTTCAATTTTGACTCAGACTGATTATGGAAAGGACCGATCGACCCTGTAAATCTAAAATATCATATCCATTAAATACTTGACAAAAAAGTTTGTTGAGATATCGCTGTTTTTCTCTTCTGGGGCAAGGTAGAGATCAAACTGATGTGCTATGTGTTAACACGATAAACTGGGAATTTTGCCAATGAACCATAAACGATCTAAGAAGCAGCCAAACCCACTGTTTTCCTTTGCTGGGAAAATGCTTCATCTGTCTAGTTTTGGGTGGTGCTGATTATTCTTAACACACTGGCTTCCCCAGGTCCTGTTCCTTTTTCACTGTTGTATTAAATAACTGAGCTAAGTGAGAAAATGCACTTATTTATTACGGAAGACTGTTCTGAGAAGTTTTAAAGAAGCATAAAGAAGAGGGACAAGATGGAACAGGAAGAAAGAAGAGTATAATTTACATCATCAAGTATCTTGAATGTATTTTAGGTGGTGAAAAACCCTAAAAGGTTAGTCTCTTCATTTTGCTTATCAGTGTATTCTATTCCCAGTATGAAAACACAGCACATTAAGACTCTCTTCTGTGTAGTGCAAATACTATTTTGATATTGAAAAATTATACCTGCTGTTGAAAATGAAAGGGAACTAAGCAACTTGAAAAACTGTTTATGTTGGATCAGTTGGTAGTATAATTATATTCGAAAAACCTATCAGATCATGTATGCTGTACTATTTTCTTTATTTATTTAACAGCACAAGGAATGTTTCACATATAAGTCAGTGCAGGCACACATCCTGGACTTAAAAGAAACATCATGTTTTATTATATATACAGAGAAAATTTATAACAAAATAATACATAACTGAGTGTTCACACCAACTTTAGCACCAATATTCACATCAGTCAGAAAAGATCAAAAGAAACAAATCAAAACATCAATCAAAACAAAACAAATCACAGAATCATAAAATGGTTTGGTTTGGAAGGGGCTTTTGAAGATCATCTAGTTCCAACCCTCCTGCCATGGGCAGGGACACCTTCCTCTAGACCAGGTTGCTCCAATCTGGCCTTGATGGGGCATCCACAACTTCTCTGGATGGCCTGTTCCAGTGTCTCACTATACTCACAGTAAGAATTTCTTCCTTATATCCAGTATAAGTCCACCCTCTCTCAGTTTAAAACCGTTGCTCTTTGCCCTGGATCTGCAGACCCCAGTTTATCTGCATCTTTTCTATAAGCCCCCTTCATATATTGTCCATTTTGAACAGCCCCCACAGATTACAAAAAAAAAATGTCACAAACCTCCAACAAGTTACCAAAAAGTCACAGAGCTTACCGCTTCTCCTATAGCAACTTGCAACCATCAGCTGCCACTTCACTTGTGTCGGCCTGCATATAAATAAAATAAAATAAAATGATGCATATTTGCCAAAGAATGAATAAGCAAAATAACCTACACAGCACTGGTAAAGACCTACTACTAAACTACCAATAAATTTTTCACCTAGCCTATTGCCTTCCTAGAAAGAATTTAGCCAGCTCAATTCACACACAGTTTACCCCTGCATTCTGCACCTGTCTTCAGGCCTCCATGTCACTCATTTTCAGTCGTATTTTCAGCCTTCCTCCTGCTCGTGATTCTGTGCCCAGGCACAGTTAGTACACCAGACACGTGAACCACTGATCTTTGTCAGAGTTCTAGAACCATGCAGTAGGAAAGAACAAAATGCTAAACTGTATTTTGAGGAGGCTCTACCACTAGGATCCTGTGCATGCCCAGGAGATCCCTGCCAGGAAGCACACTGCCCACTCACAGCTTCAAACTCTGGTTTCTCCTTTTTGCCTATGATGCCATCACAGCATCGAGCTGCTGCCTGTCCTTCTCTTTTTAGCATATAACGGTGACAGGTATGTCAGAGAGAATATTTGAGATGTTTCAACATGTACAATAAAACAGTTGGACTCCTTCCTCTTCCTTCTCAAATTAATATGAAAACTAGGAAATTTCATGTCAATAGCATCAAGATCCTCTATAAGCCAAAGCATTTTCCACATGTGGCTTACAGTTCAATAGTAGCATATCCAAAAGGTACTGTAAGATAACATTTTCAGAATAGTTTTGTACTTATTCTCTTCAGTTTTTCCCTCTAATCATAGCATAGGGCATTTTTAACTCTAAATAATCTGTTTGCCTGGTAGTTGCCAAAAAAGCTCATGAAATACAGATGCTGCACCTTTTTAGTTTCAGCTGAATGTGTCTCCTGCAAACAAAGGCAGCCAAGCAGACACCAAAATAAAGTTTATTACATAGTTCAGTATGAAAATTCTGGAGAGAATAAGTTGTCAGCAGCAAGCATTAACTGCACAACTCCTTTTATTAGTGATAGATTTGTGCATGCTGGTAAAAATAAAGTAATGAAAGCTGTTGCCCAGTTCACTGTCTAACATGTTATCTTAGAATGCAATTTAAAATGTAGTTATTGTGATTAAAGCACTGAATGCACTAAACAAACAAAAATTGTTAAACTAAAAAATGCTGTTCATAGTTAGAATAATTTTTAAATGTAACTATTTCAAATCAGTAGCAATTTATATTTACATTCATATTTACCAATTAGCTTATCTAGGCTCTATTTCTAGTACCAAATAAGCACCAAAACATTTATGCATCATTATCTACTGTTAAAAATCTCCTCCCACAGAGAAATAATGTCTCTCTATTACAGATAGATTACAATTATAAATAATAATGAAGAATTTCATATGCCAATTTTTCGTAAGTACTTTACAATCCACGTGCTTCATGCACTGACTGAGACATGAAGCACAAAATCTTTAGATCTTTGCCAAAACAAGATTATGAAATAATTTCTTTTAGTGTTGTCTGTTTCTTTCCAAATTTTCTAAGAAGACCATGAACGCCAGTATTTGCAATCTCATAGCTGGACTAAAATATAAATTTTTAAGATGGCCAGTATTTATATGGAAAAAAACATTGGCAAACCTGTGAACTCGGTATTTTTATCTTATCTACATCTCTATTTCTTTATAATTATATCACCATTTGAGTGAAGTCTATGTTTTGGTTTGGGTTTTTTTCATTTTTAATCCTTATTTAAACTTAGATTTTCTCTTCCACAATTAATGTCCATTCTAACCCAAGTGTCTCAAAGCCAGAATTAGTATTTTTTACTGAACTTCTTACAACCTATTTGCAGTATGATTTTTCCTTGAATAATACTGTAAACTTTTTGTTCACGTGCTGTCTTTGTACATGCATGTCCATTCAGATTCCCAGAACAAAAAGAATGTAAAATTTTAGATCATCACAAGACAAGCAATAAGAGATGGTTTTTTAGTATTATTTTTGGTAGGTTTCCTAAAACACAAAATAGAGAAATTCACACTTATTCAATTGAATTTCAGTTGCATGAATTGGTCTATTAACACAAAATGCTTCATGAATCCTACATAAAAAGACCATATGCCTGTCTTTTCAGAATTATCTTTAAACTCTAGATTACAGATTTAAATTTGACAATTTTATTAAGCATTTTCTGGTAAGCTTCCTTTCTGAACTAAAATAAAGTATATGGCCTATATACTTTCTGAAGTGCATCACGTTCTTCTAATGGACAACTTTAGCCACTGAGTTGCTGAACTGAACTCAGCATATTTCAAACATCTCCATCAGGATCAATTTAATCTGTCAATTTATTTTTACTGCCCCCTGGCAGTTCTGCACAGCACAATTTTGCTTACTTATATACCTTATTTGTGATCGTTTTTTTGTGGAAGTAGGAGCGATGCGAGAAGTGGAAATGCAGCAAGAACGGCTAAAACGTGCATTTATCTGAACCACCAAATCATCGCTGCATAACAAAACAATAGAAAGGAAGTATTTCACATAAAGCCATAGAGAAAGAGGTCTTGGTGGCTTTGGAGAGCTATTGCCCACTTTGTAGCTGTATTCAATGGCAGATAACAGAGAAAAAGAGTGTCTAATACCTAACACTGTCTTGGGCCCAAAGGAGGATCTTACTTAACACTGAAATCGCACAGTAAGAACAAAAACACACTGTAAATGAACAGACAGAAAATTAGGTAAAATCCCAAATACTCTTAATTCTGGTGTTGGCTTATAGTATTATTAAAGTTATCCAACTGATTTATCTCTAGGTATACTTATGGATGTCTAATCACAAATCTGAGTAGGCATAAAATAATAACTACTTACAGGATAAGTGCTGCTCTTTCAAAGTACTCAATGGCTTTTTCACAAAACTGGGTGTCAATGCAATATGCTCCAAGCCATTCAATGACCTCAATGTTTGAAGGGAAATACCGGTATGACTGACAAAATAGGAAAGGTGAAAAACCCCACAATTTTAGTGATAAACAACATCTTTATGGTACTTCTGGAATATCTTACTCAAGTGTTTAATTCTCCAGATGCCCAAAATGTGTAATATAAATGAATAGAAGTAGTGTGCTGCACTAAGTGATCCTGGGGAAAAAAAAAAAAAAAGGCCTGCCAAGTTTTCTAATTGCAAAATGCTTTTTAGAAGTTACCTGAGATGAGTCTGTCACATTTTCCATCAAGCCTTATTTGAAATACTATTTTGAATAGCTTGCAACAACAAAAACATTTACTTAGCTCACGTCTACATACGAGTAAGTTACCTAAAACATTAAACAATGCTAACTAATACGTGTACAATTCCATATTCACATCAGTCTGCTGGAAAACTCAACTAAAAGCATTCTTTTCTATACATAACATACATAAATAACATTTTCAGCTTTTTTGAAATTCCCACGGAAACAGGCAGCAAAATTATCATCAAGAAAAACTCAATTAGTAATTCAGATTGCAACACAGCCCTTGGTCATCCTTACTTCACAGATAAAAAGAACCCTCAGCAAAGCAGTTTCCCGTCATATTATTTTTTCTAAGACAGAAGAATCCTCCAAACTACAGGCAGTAGTACAGCTGAAATTCAACTCTTTGAAATTAAAGAGGCTATGTATCTTTAGGCAACTGTGTATACATAATGTGTAGCTATACCGTTAAAATAAACTCACATATATAAACACATTATATATGTAACCATATCTATTATACAGACACAGCCTCCAATCAACTCAGTCCCATTACACACCTTTAAAATTACTATATTTACTAAATTTGCTATATTCGGATTTTATTTTGTCCCAGACTATATTTTAAAATAAAACTGTTACAGGTCAGTGTAAACAATGACCACAAAAAGAAACACGAAAGTCTGAGGTCAGTATCCACACTGGAACCACAGGCTATGCATTTCCTTAGGATCTGACTATGAAAATTAGATTTTATTAATTCTCTCCCAGTATCTTCTTTTTTTTTCCTTTCTGGAGGACGTTTCAAAAAGTTTAAATGAATCAATTGTTAATTTGATATATGAACTTACAGCAAAATTTTCTTTAAATATTACAAAGTGCATTGAAAAAGCAAAACAAGAGCAAGTACCTCATAGTAATAATGAAAAGCTTGGGATTTATCACCTTCATTATCATATAATTTCCCTAGCTTTGAAAGTACATGTGGATCAGTTGGTACTACACTGATCAACTGCAGGAGCCACTCTATGGCTTGATTGGGATCTTCCATGATCTCATATCTGAGTTTTCTTCAGTCAAGGACTGATGCCAACGGTAGTTTGATTTACTCAGAATTCTTATTACTTTACCTAATGCAATCCGTATGCTGAACAGATACACCAGTCACTGTAGCATGAAGATACACTGGCCTTCTTTTTTTTTTCGTTTTGTTTTCATAATTAATTTCCATTAGAAAGCCTTTTTATTATGCTAAAGAAAAAAAAATATTCCGAGATTTTGGCTGTTCTTTCACCTTAAAACTAGTTTGGGCTCAACAGAACTTTGGGTTCAATTCTCTCTCTCTCTGACACTAATTTTACTTTGACTTCTGCATTTATAAGAATGAAGTGTGAGAACCAGGCCATTGATTTGTAGCCTTTACAACCTGGTTAGTTTTTCATAATAACAGCATTTTGTTTAACTGTAAGTGATGAGGTAAAACTGCTATTCCCAAGAACTGACTTCTGCCAGCAGTGAGGTTTTCTGCTGTATGTCTAAGAAGCACAAGCCACATTCTGGTCCAGAAAGAGAGGCAGCATTAGCCGTAACTCAGCTGGCAGTGTGCTCTTCCCCCCTCAGTCACCTCTGAGGGGCACAGTGGCTCAGAGCTCCCAGCAGTGTGAGCTGGAGCTACCGCCCAACCTGGTTTTTCAGTTTGTGCTGCATCCTACCTGTCATGGAAAAACCTTGTGAGTATTGGTGGAAAACAGTTTTACACAGCAGTGGAGCAGAGAAGCTCTGCTCCAGATGGGAACTGGGAGTTGTTGGGCCATTTATAGCGTTGTAAAGGGGCCATACAACAAGGAATAGAGATCAGAGTCCTTTGGTATTTTTGGAGGCTACTTATTTTACTGACTAAAATGTATTTTTATTACCTACACTATTCTTAAAAGTGTAGTACAGCAACTGAAATCTGTTCTGCCTTGGGAAGGATTTTATTACAGTTTGCACATCCTCAGAACTGTTAAAGAAATTCATATCACTGGTGATGTGCAAAGCCAGTTCCTCCCTTCCTCAGCTTTTCAATCAGAAGAGAACATCACATTCATTAACCATAAATTTTTTTTCTTAAATATTTTACTTACATGTGCTTACATATGCCATATTATTTTCATAATAAAAGCAGCAGTATTTTAAATATTCCAGGACACAATTTAACACTGAGTGTAAATCACTCGTTCCCTGCAATGAGAGCAGTCTTAATGTATTTCTTCATTTGCTTCACTGGAAACATTCAAGAAGGTTTAAGTTCTGGTCTCATTTTCACAAACGTCAGACAAGAAATCATCATTACTATAGCAGATACTGCAGTAAATTTCTAAGTCACCCTGTCATGATGGAAACATGTAATTCAGACTAAATGAGTTCACTAAAACCACCATCCCTTATCATAATCCAGAAAAAGATACATGCTTGCTATCTGGTAAAGGACTTGGGCACTATTTGGAAGGATTGCATGGAGTTTCAGCAAAAAATCCAAAGCTTCATCCATCCTGTTTAACTTCTTGTATGCTAAACCTAAAAAAAATAATGGTTACAGAATCAGTGCAGTCAGAAAAAGACTACTTTGGCCTGACAGAATAACAAGAAAACCAAAATTGGTACTTGGAGGCAGTATGACTGCCTGGACATTAACAGACTCTTTGTGAGAGCCATGCTTATAATTCTTACCAGCCAGCATGGCCTACCAAACTGGTAAACACAAGGAACATGAACCCAATCAAAGAGCAAGAATACATGTAATCTCACTTTTTGAACAAGATAAATGGGGGAATGAGGGTTTAATAATGCTAAAACTGGTATACTTCTTGTAGGCAGCATAAATTTCTTAATCTTCAAAGTAACTCATTTATCTGCAATTACTAGTTGATGTTCTTAACGCAGGGATTTTTTAGCAGAACAGAGAGAAAGTACAAGTTAATACCTTGCTATAACATAAATTACTCAATAAAGTAATAATAATTCACATATATTTCTACATAAGAACACCCTGAAAGACAGATTCTCAGAAAAACTGTTACCTTTAGACAAAAGCTGAATCACAAAAGTACCTATGACTTACCAAGGTTATAAAGTGCTTCAGTGCATAAGGAATCGTTCCTGAGAGCTTCCTTATAAAATTCAGCTGCTTTTTCATAGTCTCCATTTGCAAAAACAGTATTTCCTTTGTTAGTTAGAGCTGCTGGATTGTACCTATCAGAATTTATAGCTAAATCTGCATAGTTAGTTGCTTGTGCCAATTCATTCCCCTACATGAACAAAACAAACATTGTATTAGTCCTTTGTCAGTTAATTTTCTTGTAGCTGTGGCTTCTTACAGGAATTACAAAAGACTGAGGATGAAAAAAAAAAAGATTCCCAAAATATTTCTTATATATTTGCATAAGGTAGATCATCTCTTTCTAATTTCAGATAACTTAGCACTTGAGATGTGTCTTGCTACTGTTTCCCATCTGGTCTGGAAGTTTTCTTTTAAAGTAGCATTTATTTAAAAAAAAAAAATAAATTAAAAAAATCCCCAAAGTTCAGGCTGGGTCTCCAGGACCCATGTTTTAAATGGAGCCACAAATCCCACCGCAGACACGCTTCTGTGGCTTGGGGCTCAATCTCACTCTTCTTCCCAGCAACAAAATGACCTGATCCAAACTTCAACTACAGCCCAGAACTGGTGCTCCAGAATAACTTCTCTAGTGTGCACTTTCTTCTTGTTTACAGAGATTATTTAGACAGACACAAAAATTGTTACAAAAACACAGAAGTTGCTACATAAACTGCAGTTCTTACCTGGTTTTGTTGAAACAAACACTTACCAAATAATAAAGGAATGAAAGGTTTGTTGCAGCTGCACTCTTTACTCTGCTCTCCTTTTTTTCAAACATTTTCAAAGTCTCCAATGCCTAGAAGTAATTTGGAAACAACTTACTTCCAACTGAAGCAAACTTATTCCAAAATCCTTTCAGAAAGCATTGATAAACTTCACAGTGACAAACAGCTAAAATTATCATATACTCACATATTTTATAATTACTAGAGCTTGTAACACACATTTATAAGCACGTACACGCAAAAATATATCTCTATCATACATAACATTAATTTTGGTCACGAAATTTCTATAATATTGGTTATTTATTACTTCTCCAAAATTTAGATTAGATAAGGCTCCTGTGAACTACACGGATATCTGACAATTCTATACAAATAAAACACAACATTAGATGATTTGCTTTTAATCTAGCTGACTAATTAAAATTCTCATACATATTTTTTCAGTTCTTTAAGTCAACACAAAATAATTGACATTAAAATCCTTATTAAAAAGCTAAAAAAGAACATGTTATATGTCAAAAAAATACACACAACAGCATAGGACTGGACCTAAACTTGCAGTTGTTTTGTGTAGTAAGACAACAACAACTGCCCAAGTCTAGGAAGTACTCAAATGTGAAGCCTGAGGCCACAAAGTTTTTTAAAAACTTTTTACGCGAAAACTAGATTTCGTACACTTCAAAATAAAGATGTTTTCAGATAAAAAGTAAACATATTTAAACTATGAAAGAAACTTTGAAATGAAAGGCAGCTTTTTCTTTTCATTGACTATGGGATAACATTGCTAACTGCAGACTAAATGATTAAGAAAACTCTGTCTTCTTTATGCCAAATATTTATATTAACTACAAAAACTGTTAAGAATATCACAGTGAGCCCAGTTCCATCATCTATTACAACACAGATGTGGCAACCTCAATTTAGCCCTCAACACTAGCAATTTAAAAGTTTCCTTCTTTCTTGACATGAAACGTTTCAGCTGCATTTTACATATCAAAGCAAATGCATTATACTGTATGTCAAATGCCAAAATAAACATAAAGGAAACAGGTTTTAATTGACTGTCATACATACAATGTTTCACAGTTACTCTACACAAAAAACTAATGATCTGTAAAACGACAAAATATACACAGCTAAACGCAGTTCATTGATTTAGTCAACTACATTCCACCCAAGAACTATGAATTACTAAGGATCTTAATATTCTCCAATAGTAGAAAATTCTCTAAAAATACACCAATCTTAAACAAGAAAAGCATTTCAATAGTTAGGCTCTAGATTTTGTGGTCTCAGAAATGTAAGAATTGTAATTATGATAATTTTAAACCTTTGTATATATTTGTGACTTTCTCCAAAAAGGGGATGATCCCAGACATTTTCAGATGCAGTATTACTATATCTGAGGTACTCTGCTCTTAAGAAAAACTTGCTTCTCGTGGAATTTTTAGTGAATTTAGAGCTTTACAGTTCAAAGTTACTCTCTGAAAAGCTATTTCCCCTTATAGTTGATTTATTTAACTTTGCTTTTACTGCTAAATGGTATCTTTGACAATAAAGATCAGAGAAGAAGTAATGTCCTTTTCACATATAATGAAAAGCTCACATGGACTCTGAACTCGATTCATTTAATGGTCATTTACTGGTAAATAACGTTGCAGATCTCTTGAACCATTTCAGCAATTATGAGCCCTAGGATGAAAATCCATAGCAATATTCCTTTTGTCCTTGCAATGTAGCACTGTCTAATCAGCTACATTCAAAGATTTCTAAAGAACTTCTGACTTTTTAATCCTAACAAATAATTACTAGTTAGATTCAACAATCAAAACACTGACTGTCCAAACTATTCTTTGTGACATGCTTCCAATGTACCTAAATTATTTGCTTACAGAAGTTAAACTTCAAAGCAACTTGCCTGACCCAAGCAGGGTGTGTCAGAGATGTTTAGGAGCTGCATGGTTAACCTGCAGAATTTTGGTTTTAAATTGATTTTTCAAAGGTTTTCTTCTGATAGTAAAAAACATTCAAAATGTCTAATACACAAAACTAGAGATATTATGGTAATTTTCCCCTAAATTTTATTTTATTTTTTATTTGCAAGAACTGTTTTAAAATAACATATTCACTACAATGAACCCATAGTTAAGCCCATTATAGTTACAGGAGAAATCTATTTTAGTGTTTTGTTTTTTTAAACACACAAAAAAATCTTTCAGCCTTGAAACTGAGTATTTCAGAAAGTTTCCATTCTTGTTCTTCAGCCAAAGGTGTGTTGAGCAAGTGGGAGATAGTTAGTATATGAACAACAGGTAGACTGGATGAATTTAAATGGTAGCTGCAGTTTTATTAGAACAAAGCCAAATGACTCTCTGCAATCACCATTCTGCAGTCCCACTGCACTATTAAGTGGTTCCAGTGCCAGTTAAAGGTCTTCTATCACTTAATCCAAGCAAAAAGAGGTTCTCCCCTTATTGCTAACTTCCCAAACCCTTCCCTCTTCCTCCATTAAAGTACTACACAGAAACATCACCAACAATCTCTGTATATAATTTTACTACTGAAAATTAATTTTAGGGGGCTTGTTAAACTATACTGGATACTAACTGGAAACCGAAAAGAATTACCATCAAAATAGAATTTCTTGAGTTTGCATGACTGTTTGCCTACCTGTAACACTCTCATCCTTCAAAAGCTACCAGATTTGCCCCAAATTTTCAAAACTCTCAAAACTGCTTCCTGATCTCAGAAAAGCTATCAGTGTGCTGATTTTGCCTGTAGTAGCTTGTATAGGGCTGCATTTTGGGTTTGTGTTGGAAACGGGGTTCATAAGCTAGGGATGTTTTCATTACTGCTGAGCAGGGCTTACACAGAGCTAAGGCCTTTTCTGCCTCTCACCTCACCCGTGAGTGGGCTGGGGGTGCACAGGAAGCTGGGAGGGGACACAGCTGGGACAGCTGACCCCAACTGACCAAGGGGATATTCCATACCATATGGCGTCATTCTCAGTATATAAAGTGATGGAAGAAGGAAGAAGGGGTGAAGCAGAATGAGCAGCTTTTGCTTTACTTATTACACTGCCTTTATCCCTACCCACGAGTTTTCTCACTTCACTCCCCTGATTCTCCCCCTCATGCCAGCACAGCAGGGAGTGAAGGAGTGACTGCGTGGTGTTTTGTTGGCAGCTGGGTTAAACCACAACAGTCAGACATGCAGTGTAACAAAGGATAACTCTCTTGCTGTGTATCTACAGGAAGGAGAAGAGGACAAGACAGGCAGGAGGAGCAAGAGCACTCAGGAAACTAGAAAAGCTTAAACGTGAGAAGTAAAAGCGGCTCAAGTTAAGCACATGGCCCTGTGTGCCTCCCTCTAAGCTCTGGGATGGGGAAGGACCTCAGAAGATGACAGAGGTATTCACAGTTTCGGCAGTAATTTTGCTTGTATATGATCTCTTATACTTCTTGGCACTTGTGCAAACCTGGGGGTTGCTATATACCTTCTTATTTATTAAGCATTCCTATCACTGAATGTACCAACCAGTGCATGTTAGAAGGAAGCTGAACAAATCTTGTCAGATATCTGAGCTTCCTTGTGTTCATATGAAGCTGTTTTCCAACTGCTCACATTTCAAACCAAGCCTCTTCCACAAGCAAATAAAAGGTTACATTACAAATCTGATGAAAACCTGGTATTATAAATTGTGCCACGACTCATAAAGATTAAGAGCAAAAAAATGCACTTTCCCTTAAATAAACACTGTCAGGAAGCTGCACATTCACTCAGACAATACCAAAACCTTAAACATGGCAAGCTGTGGTATTAATTTATACACCTGCATTGGTAATTTATATGCATAGAAAAGGAAAGCTACAGTTAACAGCCTCCTGTACTTATTAGAAAGAGACTGATGACAATTTTTAAAGTGAAGGCAGTTCAGCATAAAATTCACAGGCAGAAATTTATCTAACTAGTGATTGGGCAGCCAGCTGGAGAAAGATCCAACCTAAATAAATATACAGATCACATTTCAAAACAGTCAAAAGTTATCTCACATGTATATTTAAAAATACAACAAACTACTTAAAATTAAACATGCAGTAATGTGCAAGATAAAAAAATGTAAAGTCACAGTGATTTTGGTAGATCCATCTTCTGAACTTCTGCAAGTTATTGAATTTTGAGCAATGAGCTACACTTTTACTTGGAACTACTAATACTGTATCTTTTCTATGACCTTCTTCATTTGCTAACACACACTGTGGCTTAAATTGCTGTAATATCTTCCCAGTATTGGTAATTCACCCAGCCCTCTGTGCTCTTCAGAGGGGCAAGCATTTTTATAAGAGATTCAGAACTGTCCAAGCTTCTGAGCAGATGCTTAATTTAATTTCAATTTGTATTTCATTGGAACGATAGGAGGGCCAAATAAAGTATAAAAACAGTTCATAATAAAATACTATAAAAGCTGTAGTACATGGGGAACAGTGAGAATACCAGAGCATAAACATTAATGATACATATGAAGTGCCGCTGCATATATTTTGGTAATATAGTCAACCTAACTCAGAACAAGATTCAGCTCATATTAATGGAAACACCTTTATGTTGATTAGCAATAGGCTTTCTAGGCTCTATTGACTGTAATAATCTCAGTTCCACTAACTGTAACTACAGCTTGGACACCCAGTGAAGATAACTAAATCTAGGTGTCTTGATTTTGAAATGAAATGCATTCACGCCAGCTTCTGTGGCAGAAATTTTGTTTAGATAAAACTCATCTTTTGCCAATGCTTTCATAAAGTTATTTTACCGATCAGCATCAAAATAATGATGTTTGCATAAATTATTCTTTCCCTCACCAAAAAATATGCTGTGGCTAAGAAAAGTATCTTTGCAAATACAGTATTAAAAAGCACTGATTACTATACCTGGTTAAAATTCTGCTGCCTCAAGTAAGTAGTGGCTTTATTTATTTCCAGGTCATTGGCTAACTCCACATAGTGGGAAGCTTTTACTGCATCAACACACCTGCAACAGAAGTGATCCAAAAACATAAACAAAATGCACCTGTGCAAACCCCTCTAAGTTACACACTTTTGCATCCAATTTGCTTTCCAAACTCAATTTTTCTTAGCTAATCTTTCTTCACAGAGGAAAAGAGCACTCTAATTAAAAATATTTGAGAAAATATTTATATCTATAACCTACCTTAATAACAGTATCCCTGCTACCTTTTTTTTTTAAGCCAGATGCCTAAACATCAATTTATTTTTCATCACTGAGCAATACTTGATATCAAAAACTCACTAAGAAAATTTTTCAAACTATTTTCTTTGGATACATTCTATAAGGTGGTTTTTCAAACCTCATCTCCTGTTGCATATATTACACAACCTGTAGACCAGATTAGTGAACAATCTGCAGAGACTACAGATTGTGTCCCTGAGCTACATAATAATAAACCTCTTTCTGGTCATCTCCCAGTTATTTGTGGCTTAGGGTCTTCTGCAAAATGAGTGCAGAAGAGAATGTAGCAGACAGATGCTTATTCCCAAACTCCATCATCCAGGGATTGATGTGGTGTACTTTAAGCTGCTCAATCATTTGAAGCAAGACCTTTATTTATTGTATGCATATACTGTTCTCTCAAACAGTTGGTAATTAAGCACAGTCAATGAACAATTTGCAGGATGCTTCCTTCATCCCTTCCACTAATTTTTTAACTGGTGGAGAGTTGCCTTCTTTCCTTCCAACAGTTGGCTACATTGCCAACAGAAGTTTAATTTAGCGAACTGCCTCCTGCTGTAATCGGGTTGGCACATGGACAGTCTCTATACAACTGTCTTTTATGCTGGAGAAAAATTTATATTAAATAATAGTGAGTTATTCTTTTATTACAGATGTCTTTACAAAGTCAAAAAAAGTTTTCAACTGCTACTGCTAAAATCTTTTAACTATAAAATGCAATGAGGTCTAACTATCCAATTGTTCTTTATGGAATATGACAGAATAGTCCCATGACTATGTCACATTTTAAGTACGAAGTTATAAAAAAGACTATTTGTCCCCACTTAATTTCTCTAAAGAAAACTAATCTGATTAAAAGTACATTCAATACTCAGAGGACTCATAAAAAAGTTTACATTTGAAAAACTAAGCTCAAACTGCTGGTAAACTTCTTCACTGGGCTCAAATACCTCAGCCTAAAATAACAGAGAGCAGATCTGTCCTGATACACACAAAACAATCCCACATATCTCACCAGAAGTTGTTTAACTAGCCAGAACACATATGAGAATGTATTATTTCATGACAAGTATTCTGTGGATAGCACTAAGGAAGCAATATCTGACAGCCTTTTCCATTTTTCCTAAACAAAAATACAAAATACAGAGCAAACAAATATGACTTACTCATGCTAACAAATTCTAAAGTGGCAAGCTAATTCTCACAAGACACACTGTTTAAATTCTGATGATTCAGAACGTCAGAAGTAGTGAAATTGTAAGATTATAATGATTATTAAACCACCAAACACCACCTTGTGGAGCCTAGCAGACAAAACACATCTATGTTAGAGATTATTTTGTATTAGTATAAACAACTTGGTAAATTATAATTATAGGACCCGTACAATGTGAAAATAATCATAACAGACCAAAAACCCCAGGTAAAAGGACAGTCCTCTTTTCTCAACAAATGTCCTTCACTACCCAAACACTGAACACGTTAGTAATTTTGTGCCTGCAGATACACAACACTTATTTGTGTACGTTATTTTCCAGTGTTACCAAAAATACAAAAAATATCAATGTCCTTATAATAGAAAACTGAAAGTAAGTTTAAAATATATCTTGGGAAAGTTATACAAATCATTTTTATACTGTAATTACAGTAAATGTGTCTACTTGATTTTGTTTTAAAGAGAAGAGTATTCTGCTTTGGAAAATACCACAGAAAGCAAAAGTTAAGCTGTACATTAAAAAAATAAAGTTCAAATGGTGAACTGTATCAGCAACCTATCCCTGTATACACTTGTAAAATGTTTAAGAAATGGTAGATTAAGTTTAAAATTTAAAAATATTTAGTTTTAAAATGAAACGCAAATAAACCTTTCCAATAAAAATTTGGATTTCATTATTTTATATAATGAGTTTATGGAGTAATGAAGACTTCTTAGGCACCTCAAGTTTTCATTATGTTATCTTCAAACTTACACTAAAGAGTACTGATCATTACCTTCCAGATAGCATTTGTTCACTGAGATTTTTAAAAGCTCTTCAATTTTCAAGTTGAATTTTCAAATTTAACTGAGCTTTTAGAAATTCTTTCTGGGTGAACATAGAACAGTGCAAAATATATATTTAACAGCTGAGTTTCAATGACGAATTAAATTTTTTTTCACAGAATAGACTCTAATGCTTTGTATTGTTCTTCTCCATAGCATTATGGAGGCAAACTCTAAATAGCCTGGATACCACATTGGAGATGCAGGGCAGGCCGTGTTTCCCAGGCTGTTTATGTTTGTGAATCTGGTTTCATAACCAGCATGACAGACTCACATATAGTTTAGAAAAAAAGAAGCCCCACTTGACTCTTACCAATCATAGCCTACTGCAAAAGATGTCTCAATTACTGGTGCAATGAGTTTAGCAGCTGTCATGATGTATTCCTCTGCCATGGATTTCCTAAGGAAAAAGAAAACCAAACAAAAACACAGCACAAAAATATTAAAGAAATTCTTCGCTGCAAGGGTGGTGAGGTAGTGGAACAGGTGCCCCAGAGAAGTTCTGGATGCCCCATCCATGGAAGTGTTCAAGGCCAGCTTGGTGGGACTTGGAGCAACCTGGTCTAGTAGAAAGTGTCCCTGCCCATGGCAGAGAGGTTGGAACTGGATGATCCTTTAAGGTCCCTTTCAAACCAAACCATCCTATGTCATCATTTCAAAAACATGTATAGAAAAAAAAAATAACCAGATCTTGTTCTTGCTTCTTCCTGCACTCAGGACAATCTTAGAAGTCAGTCTAACCAGTCCTCTGCTACCTGTATCTTGACACTGCCCTGTATCTTGCCTTGTATCAGTTTTTTCTGTTTTCCTTTCACTGCACACTGTAGTTGTTTTTTTAAAAAACTAATGCTGCAAGTTTTAAGCAATGTAACCTAGATCATTTGGGGCAGGTATTCTACTTTAGTGCAGTACACTAAACTGAGTGATCCAACTGGTTCTTCTGAGTGTGTTCCTTCCTAGGAATTATGAGGACACTTTTGTAACAAGAGCTGTGGACAGGTGAGAAGACCAATAATCCTTCCAGGAGCTAAAATTCCAGGCACCATAGTCAAAAAAAATAGATTCCATCATTACCTCTCACGTTCCATTTGACTTATACTGTCATTTTTAATGGCTTCAAGCAGTAGATTTGTATGTAGATCATCCTGTAGGGGGACAGAATAACTGCAAATTATGCCAGTATATAAACATTTTAATTATTTTATAAACTATATGACTGCAAACATAAATTGGTACAAAATACATGGTCTATAATGTCACTTTCCACATCTGAAAAAGCTAGCTTCAGTTCAAAGTAGCTTTCTAATTGTAAAATCTGAAATTTGGCATTACAACTACTTCAAGCCTGTTCTTCTGCTCGTACATGTTGTCACAGCTCACGTTAGAGTTGTTAATGGATGTAGATCATGTCATGTATATCAGACTGGGAAGGCTGTAGAGAATATTCTCACGCTTAAAAATAAGCATTTGCTGAACTGCATTCAGCAGAAGAGGACTTGTGTTACCTCCTCATTACAATAACTCACATGATCATCTCATGATTTCTATCACTCTAGCTAGCTCTAAAAGAAATAATAATGAAATTCAAAAGACAATGGTGTGGATTTTATGTACATCATATCTTTTGAGGAAGAAAGACTTTGAATGTTCTTTGATTATTTTACACTTCTGAGCAGTACTGCCACACTAAAAAATTCATGTTTGTAAAAAAATAAAAAGTTATTTTAGATACCTAAGTACACATCTATTCACATATTCAGTACAGTCCAAGCATTATATATATCTCCCTCTTTCTCCCAATTTACTATATTAAGACACAGTTTCTTTTTTTCAAACTTACATTTAATGAAATGTATTTGTCATCAAAATCTACTTCCAAGGGAACTGCAATAAGTTTTTTGAAGGCTTTCTTCATTTGCTCACCATCTCCAATAGCAAAATAACATAGGATCAAGTTGAAGCCTGCCTTCAGGTTTGGGGATATGCTCATTATGTCTTCAAATGAAGAAACGGCATCAATGAATTGGCCAGTTTTAATAAATGCAACTCCAATATTTTCCATTATTTTCATCCTAAGTAAAGAAATCAAGATTAGGTTATATTTTTAACTCTCACATCATATTGCATCCAAATCTTGTGTTTCATAATGAGGCCTCCTAGAAGAAACTCACCTCATCTCTTTGTGGGCACTAGTAATCTGGTCTAGAGCCATGCGGTAGAATTTGATAGCTTTGGAATAGTTCCGTTGTTTTAAATATATATTTCCCATATTTACCTTCAGTATACCTATCAAAAGAAGTCAGTGAGTTACAAGATTTTTAGACTGTTTCAAAGTGGCACAGTTGAACAACTTCCTAACAGATCTGTCTTCATTACAGGACACAAATGTCCCTTTAAAGCAGCACTGCACAGAACTGCCTTCAGCCAGGAGAAGATGAAGTACTGACGAAACCTAGGAAAGAACTACCATGTAAGATGTATTCTGATTTTGACTATGAATTGAGGGATGAGGTAGAGATTATTTACAGTGCTCTCCAGGAAGACAGTTGCAAATAAGCATCTCTAAGAAAAGAGCACTTGGTAGTCTCAAAGACGTACAAAATACTAAAAGAATCTTTCAGGAGAGAAAAGCCAAATGAAAAGAGAAAAAATTAGTATTAGAGCAGACAACATAGTGTGTGTGGTGTGAGAAAATTATAGATGTTTTTATGTTTATCTTAGCCTATGGAAAGAAAAGACTTCATGAGTTGGTGCAACTTAATTTGGTTTGGCTCTCCAAGTCAGAAACTGTGGGTATCCGTTGTCCACTCTGACCAGCTGACTCTGAGGGCTGAGATCTCTGTGAATCAACACTACACCGATGCAGCCCTCATTTTAAATGCCTTACTTTAATCCACCTTGGAATATAACCTACCTCCATTAGTGAACATCTTATTCTTCACTATAACTTGGTACGTAGTCAGTGCTTCAGCATACATTTCATTAGCAGCATACTGACAGGCCAGATTGAGAAGAACCTACAGAAAATTGGAATTATAGGTACAACAAGATATATTGTCCTCTCAACAGTAATAAACTTTAATTCATAACAGATAATTTCAAATTATTTTACTTTGGGAGTACTGTTTGTACCAATTTTAAACTTTCCATCTATAATGTTTCTTTGTTCTTGCACATGGACATAGAGGAAACAAGCTTAAAAGCTACTTATTCTAGGTAATTATTTTATTTTTGTACATAAATAACTACCATTCAAAGTCATACTAAGTGAGCCTTAAATCCAAGTAAACGCAATGTATAATACAGGGTTATTAAAAAATATTCATACAAGTTCATTCTCAGAAACTGTGTGTAATTTATGTCTCCCAACATAAAATGGTAATGGTAATGGAAAATGGTCCTACTGCCTGTGGTCACTCCGTTTAGAAAGACATAATTTTTCCAAACTGCTGTTTCAAAGCACAAGTTCTGTTGGTGTCGGGTAAAATACCTCGGCATTTTTTCCCCAGCTTTACCCTGACCTTTACAGTAAAATAAACTATTAGGTCTGCCTAATTTAACTGTTAATAGCTGTCTCTACAGCAGTACCCGGGGTACAACTTTAAATACCCCTCAAGTATTTTTATGCATCTTGCACCCTTTAAAAAAAAAAAAAAAAAAAAAAAAAAAGTCTACTATAAATTTGAAAGCCAGAATGTAAATCTAGATATCTGCTATAAGATTTAAGAATATTACTGTACCCTATTTCATGTAATACATTCTCTGTTACTTTATGGTTTAATTTAAAGACAGAATCTGATCTTTCCTGTTTTCTTCTCTTGGCATGTCACATTTTCTAGACTATTTTTTAAGTATAGGGTTTACATCTGTTATGTTTTGATATGCAAGTTTTGCATGTGAGTAGATAGCTGGAGCAGATATTCATGGGCATCCGTCTCCACTTTACATTAAGTACATGGTTTCTCTGGTGCTTGAGATTGCATGGCAACAGGTTCAATGACACAAATGGATCTCCTCTGATACCATGCTAGGAGCATTACAACACACACAGACTTCAAGAAACACTGAAATATCTGTTCAGAAGGTTTTTTTAGCAATACTTCAGTCACTAAAGATTTCTAAGCACTTACTGAGTAAGTGAGGTCTAAGTTGATATTTTCTGGAGGAGTAATTTGTTCACGTTGTCTCAACAATTCTCTTTCCTGTCTTCCAGCCTCTTTTGCTTTTTCCAGAGCCTTAAACAAAATACTAGAATTTAACAGTGCCTTGAAAGGTGTTACTTAGCACTAAGCAGACATACAGTCTACTTCGCTGTATAATTTTAGAGAAGTACAGTCACACACATACATATGCCATAATCACTACATTATGGTGATCCTAGAAGATTATTCTACTTGAATTAATCACAGAAAGTGCACAAAAATGGTAAAAAAAGGAAAAAAAAAAGAAAAAAAAAAGAGGGAGCAATTAGGTTTCGCATGTTTCCTTATTGCAGAATCTCAGTGCAGAAAGTGTTGGAAGGAAGCAAGTGGAGGCAAGAAATAAATATGCAGGTTACAAACACACAAATGTACGTTGTACACACACCTTTACTAATTCTTGATGCTGGTAAACTTCTTTCCCTTTTTATCTATCCACAGTGGTATGTCACATGTGTGTACCCAGTAATAATCCTCTGCAGGCTGGAGTCAAGACCCTTTGCACAACTAATGCTCTGGGTCTAGCAAGCGCCATTAGCAGTCCTGTATGCCTTCACAAGGGTACAATGATTAAAGAAAGTAATGGTTACCACTCAAGGTAGCGATTTGGCAGCCAGTAGTGAAGGAAGTACTTCAAGATACAGTTTGATTATTAGTCCTTACGACAGAAGGCAAATCCAACTTGACTCTTTTATAGATAATGAGTTGGCAACTTTGATGGCTTTTGCAGAAAAATGGATATTCTGCTGGACTCACCAGAAACTAACACAAACATCCTAGAGGACCCTCGGAATGGTGTGATATAATCTACATAAGAAACAACCCTCTGACATCAAGAAGCAAAGGATATTCTCCACCATACTCGTAAGGGGCTCAAGAAAAATTAACAAAACAAGTTAGCTCATCTCCTAATGAAGGTGAATTTCAGACTTTGTAACAGAAACAAATTCATATAGGTCTGTAAGGATACTTGTACTAAAGGAACACAAAAATGGATAGATGTCTTTCATACTCTCTGGTCAGAAGCTATCAGCAGCAGAAAAAAAAATGTTTTATTACAAAAGTAAAATATAAGAGGATTTTTGTTGGCTTGAACGGTGGCCCATTCCAGTCTAAACACCAGACTTGAGTCACACTTTGGGACTCGTAGTTTCTTTATTAGAAGCCTTCTGTTTCTTGCTCTTCGAGAAAGCAAACTCCCTATGCTGTGGACTCCTAGGATATATGCTAAGTGAAATCCTTCTCTCCAAAGAAGCTATCAGGCTATTAGCTAAACAGATTCTCCAAAAATCACTGGAAAGGAGTATGACTGATGTAGCCCAGTATTCCAGACAGTCCTAACAAGTGCAAGCATAAAGGGAGTCCTCATACAGAATAGTATCACCCTGAAACCAGAACTGTCTAGGCTGACCTATCACAATCAAGATAGTCAGTGTACAGTCTTGCCTTAATTTGATTAGGATCACTGGAATTGCTGCACAAACCAAAAAAAGGTATCCTTTTGATCAGAGAAACAAGAATGCAGTCAGAGATCTGGGACAGCTTTTTTTTTTCGCAAAAGCAGTAGATACAACGCTTCTTTGTAGCAGGCAAAGAAATATGGAATCTCACCAATCCTGAAACAGACCTGAAGACAATTAGAATCTTCCAGTCTTAGTCTAATAGACTAAATGTCCAATTCTGTATTTGAAAAATTCACTCTACACAAGACAAAATCATGGAAGACAGAAGTATGTTCCTGCTGTACTAGTTCCAAAGGTAAACTGGTGTCTTAAAGAGAGAAAAACACCTGAAATCTGGTATGCTTCTTAAAGAAACACTGGATATTTTTCTACAAAAAAAGGGCAGATCCTGACACCGTAACACGGAGTACCTCATTTTCAGGATGCCTGAAACATGCAAAGAAAAAAACTTAAGAAACCTGCCGAATACAAATAACATTATAAGGATAACATATGTAGTCTGATAAGAAGCATGACACAGGCACACAGTAACATCTTGCATAAAAGAGCTAAGGAGACTTTCACCAAGTGGGGAAAGCACCAGGCAACATAAAGTCCCTTCAGAATAAGAAAGCTCTCACTGTCATTGGGTCCAGTGTGGCTCCTGAAAGCTGAATGAATTCTAGAGCTCAATGCAAACACAAAGACATCTGAAAAAATATGATCTCCCAACAGATGGACTGCAAACTGCTCAACAGATCCAGTACATTAAGATAGCTGAAGTAAGATTAAATGATGCTGTACCCACCACATTTCATAAGACCTAATGAGATATTTGAAATTGTCCAAATTGGACTAGGATAGAAAAATATTCCTTTGTGTCAAACAGAAAGACCATATTTACTAGAAGTGCTAATTTGTCCAAACAGCTTGAGCTCTCCAACTACATCCATACTAAATGTAAATCCAGTGGGCTAGAGCCTGTTATTTAGCCACTATTCACTAGCACAACATTGCTCTAGTACCCTCTATAACAGATGAAACACTTATCTATACAAATTGTTCTTCACACAACAGTAAAAGTGAAATCCAGAAAAATTACCAATTTCAAGTCTCCACAGCTGTTGGCAACACAGCTTTCTTCAACCAGTTCATTCACTTTTTTTTCCAACTGCTTCAACTTCTCTTCTGGACTAAAACAAAAATAAGAATAAAAAGATTAGTAATTTAACTGCAAACACTAAGCTTTTACACATAATTCAATTCTTTTACCCACTACTCAATAAAACAGCACAGTGATGTATCACGTCGCAACTAACTGGTTTTCCCATCAAAGAAAATATCACGTGAAACTATGCCCAAAGATCCCCTACAAGATTCACATTTTCAACTTGAGAACAGAGACCTAAGAAAACATAAATCCTCTTAAGAGAACAATACAGACAGGTAAATTTCATGAACTCAATTTGTTCAGGAGAAGTAACAACAGAACAACAGATCAGCTTTCAAATCAAACACCTAGTGAAATGGAATAGCACATTAAAAGCAATTAATTGAACCTTTATTTACATAGATAACTCCAAAGTATTGCCTGCAGATTATGTAGATTATAACAAAAAGTTGTCATTCATCTAGATTTTTCCCCCTGCTAAATAATTAACTTTTCAGTAGGATTCCCTATTCCTACATAGTTACATTTGGGGAACATCATAATTTTGTATTGGAAAGCTCAACAACATTTTCTGAGTGAACTCCACAACATTTGCACCAGCCTTCAAGTTTTACCTCAAGTGCTAAGAGAGAAACAGCTGGCAAATTCCCTCAAGTTCTTCCCAGAGAGCTGCAAAAGTCATGGTGTTCTTTGCCTGTCACACACACTTCCATGATCCTCTACAATTCTATATAACAGCATTTTTGTGGCAACACCTATGTCCAGGCTGCTGAGCTATGCAGAACCAGGAATCACTGAAATCAAATGTTCCCGAAAGTCAGTGCAACTGCTCCAGCAAGCCAGCTAACCACATGCATACTGTTTGTGGCATTATTCCACAAAGTGAAGAGTTTGGCCCCTCAAGGTTTTGTAACTGCCTGGATGTTTTTGAACTCTGTGAATGGTTGGCTTTCTGTTGATGCTAATGATTTGAAATAATTTAATGCAAAACTGAACAAACCTGTCTGAATTTTTCTTTTCCAGAGGTGAAACAGGTCCTCTTGTTTGGCCAAGAGGATCAAATGAAGAACCTGTAAAATTAATAGCTTACTGAAAATTGTAAAATAACACTTCCCTGGGGCAGCTGGTAGTTTCTACAAACCATACCTCTCATAGCTGTCTTAGTATAACCTGCAGCTTGCACTGCTGTCATTGGTCGAGAAACCCCATCCTCAAACAAAGAAGAAGAAATATTAAAATAACTTTACTAAAAATTATATTGTGGACAATATAGACATCATTGTATATATTTAAAGATATAATTTGTAGATATGTTATTATTTATATAAAAATTACATACTACAAAACCTTTAAATACAAAAATCAGTTACCACCTCACTAAACTGAAAACATTTTTTAAAATGCTTTTATTGCTTAAATATTACAATCTTTTAAAAATACTTGTATCAAACACTTATCAGAAAATTTTGTTCCAAATGAATATAAAATGTACATATTGAAACTTTTACCTGTATACCTCCTGTCATTGGTCTTCCCATAGACGAAGGTAAAGTTGCCTTTGGCTACAAAAATAAGTAAATAGTTTGAAACTGGCATTCAGAAAGCATAAGAAGCCTATGTACAGTCTTCTCAACACTGAGGTTTAAAAGTTGAGCTCTCACATAAGTTCATAGCAAAGTTCCCATTTATGTTCTTCATAAGCAATATACTGCCAGTGCCTGGCGGACTTAAAGATGTTGAGCACTTCTGTTAGCACAAATTTGCAATAAAGCTTTTTTATGTATTGGATATTTCTATCAGCTCTTTTTAAAAGAAGGATATAGAAAATTATCTGAGGCAGTAGTGCTTTCCATTATTACATTACTGAAATCACTATCTTCAAATTGAACAAGTAATTTACACAAGATACCTCAGTAAAATTCTGAGTAGAGCTGATAAAATCTGTCCCTGAATTAATTTCTTAAGTTATACTTTCATGCAGATTTATTTTGTCATAAATACAGACACACTTTTCAACTGCCAATGAATATCTCTTCTGTTTCCTAAATGACACATACTGTCTTCCTGCAGAAGGTTAAAATGTAAAGAAACAAATGTGAAATATTTATTAGTAAGTGCTAAAGCTTGCTACAAATACACAATACAAATGGACAAAAATTAAGGGTTTCAGGCCATGAAAAAGTATTCTCCTACTTCCGACTCAGAGGTCTATGTTTTACCATTATACTCATTATACATCCACATCATGATTGTTTTTCATTTTTACTGCTAAGGATGAATGTACCTTAGCAAGGATTATTGTGCAGGAGAAGCAAATCTGTGGAGTGAAAGATATAGTATTGTGGAAAATGCTTTGGAAAGTCTAGCTCTGCTATTGCAGATGAACAACTCAGCCTTTATTATCCCAAAGAAGTGCCTTTTTGTGCACTCATTTAACAAGACAGCTTTTCCTCCTACAGCCTGGTATTACGCTCATCATCTGCAAATACAACTGCTAAGAAAAAGCAGCAATGAAAGTCTGAGCAATCTGATCTAGTTGAAGATGTCCCTGCTCATTGCAGGGGTGTTGGACTAGCTGACCTTTAAAGGTCCCTTCCAACCCAAACCATTCCATGATTCTAATACATCCAGAGCAGGTAACAGAAGGTTCAGAGTAAAGGTTGTGTTTCAGTGACGTAATAGAATTGAGGTGTTCTTGAAATTGTTAGCCATCTAACTTACACAAGAGATCTACAGCCATGTGATGTCCCTCTTATATTTGTCATTACACTTAAGGAATGTTATATCCAAGAGCATTATTTTTTTTTTAATTTTACTGAGTCAGGCTAACAAGTTTATAATTTATTGGAATATGGTTTCATCTGGTTTGTTAAGAGTTACAATAGGCTAAGAATACCTAAGACCATCATCAACTTTTTCCAATTAAACTAGAGGTGTTTCAAAGCCATATTTTTTAAGACTGATTTCACCTTAACTTCCAGAAAACTTTCCCAAGCCAAAATAACAAACTTTTCAGTTCCCCCTGCAAGAGAACGTGGTTATTTCCTTGGATTTTAATGTCTTATGAAGTATGGAAGTAGATTTACAGTATGGTTTGGCAGAAAAAAGAAAACAGTAACCTAGTTAACTAACAATGCCTTGACTAAGTACAGAGTTGTGAATTGAAATTAACGAATCCATGCATTTTACTGGAATGAAATCCTTTAATTAAAAAGAGCTCACTTTGTACAAGGAATTAAATGTTACATTTAATTTTTGGTAAATGCCATTTTCATTAAGGATACAACAGAACAAAAACCTACCCCAAATCCAGTAGCTAAAGGTCTTGAACTTGCTGAGCCAGGAATTTTGGCTGTCACCTGGATGGAAAAAACAAACAAACAAACAAACAAAAAAATTCCCACCAATTAACAACCATATGTGTCAATGATTAGTCTTCATAAATAAGTTCTGTAGTGATTTCATAGATATAACGCTTCAACTGTTACAGAAAGAATTCTCATTGCAGAAGTAGATTATTCTGGCAAAGAAGTAACAATAATCAGACAGTTCCAGCTGTTCTTTAGCCATTCAGTAGGTACTTCTAAAGTGCAGGTACCAACTTCATATTTGGTTTTGAAAACTGATGTAAGATTAAGTCAAAGCTAGATGAAAATAAGGGAATTGATGTCAATTACATTAATATGGAGGAAAAAGTTATCAGAAAAATAGCACATTTTCTAAATCCCACCATCTAGTATATATTTCAACCTTGTAACGGTATATCAGAGCCAGTAAGTCTATATCTGGAATATTAAACAAAGTCCTTTGTGAATGTATAATTTTGTTCTTGAACAAGGCTTTACCTCATTTTATCAAACAAGAAGACACATTTTCAACCAAAGTTCCTTGTTGTTCTAGAGTAACTCCAGAATGCAACGGAATTAATCAGGCTCTGCAAATTTTTTACTTATTTTTCATATGAATAACTAAAATCTGTATCTTCACATTAGTAGAAGACAAAAAAAAAAAAGGTAAGAGATTCTCAAGATAAGTTTGTATCAGTGCCAAAGTTAGAGGTAAGGCTCTAAAGAAGGTCTACATTATTGCAATGTATTTTCAAAGGTACTTACAGGGGGTCTTCTTCCATGACTTGTTCTTGCTGCCTGTTGAAAAGCTGTATCATTTTCTAAATCCTAGAAAAGATAATATAAAAACATCAACCCTTTTAAAACAACAACATCCAAAGCCACAATTCCAGAACCTTCAGACTACTAAAAGCAGAAAGGTAAAAACACAGTAATTCTTCCCTAAATACTTGGCCTGAAGATAACTGAATAACAGGTTTTACTGACATTAAATTACAATGACAGTATTTGTCAATCTTTTTTGGTATTTTAGATTAGAAAATGTAAAACTCATTATTCTCTGAAAAGTAGAAAAAACACACTGAGGAAGCAGAGCTGAAGTGGTAAAATAGGAAATTTTATCTCCATCCAAATGTTTACTACTCGCACTATTTCTGAATTTTAACATTAAGACCTGCCATCCCAATACATTAAGACATCCCACGTCTCTCAGGTCATGTTGCAACTCCTTATGAATTTGGCATTAGGATTTCATACAAGATGCCATGTCTACTGAGTTTGGATCAAATGAGCCCATTGTTGTCCCAGTTCCACCACACCAGCAGTTACCAGAAAGTGGTCTGCAGGACTATCTTAAGACATCCCAGGTGCTCTGCTGATTGCACAGAGACCCATAGTATTCCATTGCACTGTGAGCACCACCAGCAGCAGCTCAGCAAGAGATCAATGACTTATTCGCCAGTGAGTAGCCTCTTTTGTCACAAAATGTGCTGCTGCATGTAATCTGGGAAACACCACACTGAATATACCTAAAAATAACTAAGATTTTATACTGCATAAATTCTAACTATTACAGTGTATTAGGTTTCCTGAGAAGTACACAACTATTTTGCTGGAATAGGAAACTATCAAAGAAATAACTATTCAAAACGATCCTGGTGAAGCTTTTTATGTTTCTTGATAAATAAAGTACATTTCATTTCAAAGCAGGAGTACAGTTGTACACAAGTTCTTATCTCGTACTTCTAAATTACAATTCTACTTATGGGAAAGGTGGAAAACAGCAAATATTTTTACCTCTGTATCAAATATGGGATTATAATCATTGTAGCCAGAATAGAGATCATCTTCATCGTTCTCAGGAGCCAGATGTACATTTTGCATCATTTTTCTGTGAAACATTTAACATGCCAAATGTTACCTCGGTGGTTTTATATAAATCTTTAAATACGTAAAATACAAAAGTAAGATTTACAAGTTCAAAAGAGCTAGGACTCTCCTATAAACAGTATTAAATGGTACCATTTCACAGAAACATTTTTTGTTTTGTACTCATACCACTTATGAAAACTGTTTAAAAGATATTTATCATGAAAACTAAACGATTATAACAAGTAACTGTATTACTACTTTTCCAATAGTATCTTTCCATTGTCAGCTAATTCAGGTTTAAGATAACTCTCTCATATTCCAAAGTTTGCCTTTATTAGGCCAAACCACAGTATTAAGCCTAATGAATGGTATCTCCCCTAGCTTCAAATCTTCCTTCACCTGTCCTTGTATCAACACAGCCAAAGCTATTATACAGATATGAAGAGTGGAAGAATGTTGCAGACAGAATCTATCGTATATGAAGAATCTATCATACATGAAGAATGTTGCACACAGATGGAAAAGCCAAAAAGGTTTTTAGATGCCAGCATTAAAGAAGCCCAGGTTCCAAAGTGCTCACTAACACTACTCCAGTGTCTAATACGGCTGCATTCGCCTGGTGGCCTCTCCAGCACGGAACGCAGACACTAAGGAGGTCTCTCTTTTCCTGGCTTCCTGTTTTCATAAATATCTTAAGAAGGCAGCGTTTGATTTCATCAGTAACATGAAGTACATGCCCTTCAGCAAGCGAGCCTCAGCCAGGACGAAGCGCACGGCTCCTCTCCGGCAGCAGCAGAAGGACGAGGAGGAGGAGGAGAAGAACGTCCCCCGCCGCTTCCCCGCCGTGCGCGGAGCCACCGCGGCCGAACCGCTCCTTGTGCGGGCTCCCTCAGCCCGCGCCCGAGGCGGGGGGCGGCGATGTGCCCAGGGCGGTAGAGGGCGAGCGACTCCGGGTACGGAGGGGCCCGCTGCCCTCGCCCCGACAGCGGGCCGGCGGCGTTGCTCCGGGACACGGCGGCGGTCCCCGCATGCACCGCGGCCGGGCGGTGCGAGCGAGCGGGGCCGGGCGCAGCCGAAGCCGCGGCCCCCGGGTGGGCGGCGCCTGCCGTGAGGGACAGCGCTGCTCGCCCGCCTCGGCCGGGGAGTGCTTAGCCTCGGGGAGGAGGGGGGAAAGAGCCCGCCCTCACCCGGTTTCTGCAAGTTAAACAGCAAAAAGCCCCGTCAAGCGTTTAAGCTTACGCCTGATTTCCCGAGTCGCAATCCAGAAGGTTGCAGATACCGCCTAAAACTGCAGACGATTCGCTAGTGTTGATGGCGTTTATATATTTCCCATGGGTACAACTCGGGATAAACAGTGAGAAGAGTTTGTTGACTAGAGTGGGCTTTGAATAAAACTTCCATTTCTTGTATTGGTGGAGTAAACTAGGACAACGCACGTACTGGGATAAAAAAAGCCCGCACTGTTCTGTCCCCCAAGGGGATTTTAAGTCCAAATACTCAAACTCCCGTGAAGTTGCTTTTGCCATCTGACCTCACTGCTTCCAGGAGATGTGTGGACTATATCCATTGCTTCCAGCTTCCACATAAGATGCAGGTCTTTACCTGAATGCTCCATTCATCATGTCACTATTTTAAAGCAGAATTGCTTTATTATCGTTTACTATAGTTGAATATATTCAATATTTTAGAGAAGTGCTTCCCTATGACGGCAGTGAGGCACTGCCACAGGTTGCCCAGGTAAGTTGTGGCTGCCCCATCCGTGGAAGTGTTCAAGGCCAGGTTGGAGAGGCTTGGAGCAACCTGGTCTAAGTGAAAGGTGTCCCTGCCCACGGCAGGAGAGCTTGGAACTAGATCATCTTTGAGGTCCCTTCCCACTCAAACCGTTCTATGACTCTGTGTGTTAGGTTATCCACGTTTCCCAGATGGGAGCCAGTGTGCTAAGGAACAAAAGTTGTGTCACGTGATTGACGTACAAATAAAATTTTGTTTTCCCCTTTGCTTTTCTTGTCTTATGGAAGAGGAACACAAAACAGCTGTGAAGGATTGCGGGCTCATCAGACTGCCTACCTTTGTCCACGGGATGAGGAAAAAGAATGGAAATGAATTCTATTGTCTGCTAGGCATTGCTTTGCTGTGTGCAAATAAAAGTCTGTGATGTGAGTGATATTTGCTGACTTTAAAGGGAAGATTATTAGAATAAATTAGTTGGTGTTTCTGAAACATTAAATAGAGAGCAACTAAAGTTTGGAATGGGTGAAAAAAAAAATCTATGCTTCTCCATAGCAGGGAATTTAGGGTTACAGGATTTTAGAAGGGACCTCAGGACATCTCTTCCATCTTTATACCTAGTTTAAATTTCTTTGTGTCTCTTCCCAATAATAAAGCCAATCTACTGTCATTTTATGGTGCAAATTCTTATTTTCTGCTATAGATTTCCTTGTGAAAGAAAAACAAATATACTTTGATAAAGTAAATGGCTTCTTGCATAGCTGTCAAGGCTTGCACTCAAGCACATGCCCCTTGCCCAAAAGTATCTGAGAGCATGTTTTTATTGCTGGCACGTCGTGCCCCGTGGAGCACAGTAGAACTTCACTAGCAGGGATGGCTTTCAGGCAGCAGCAAGCACATCTGGGCAGAGACCTCATCACAGTCACCACTGACTCTCAAGGTGCTCAGCCACACCATTTTTTCCAGTAAGCTGAGAAATCTGCTCTCAAAATTGAAAAGCTCAATTAAAAAAGAGAAGAAAAAAAGTTGTTGAAGCTTTCCATATGCCAGTCTCTGAAACAAAATAAAAAAATTAAAATCCCTAATGTCTTAAAAAGGATGATTCCTCCTACCATTTTTACTACTTTCTCTTGGTATTTTGGTAACCCTGAGGAGTGTCAGCTGATTTACTCACAGCAAATCATTATACTCTGGGGAAAGTTTCACATGGTTAAATGGGAAACAGAATAGAGCAGGGATCTCTAAACAAGCCTACAGTATTTTTGAGAGAGAAAATATTTTATGAGACTAATTGTAACCTACCCCTACTGCCTTATGCTAATGGCATAAAAAGGCTGCTAAGACAATATACAGTACAAAGTCAGTCAGAACACCCTTTTTATGGTCAGGGATTGCGCACATTATGCAATGTCAGGGCCTTCTGCTGCTCACCTTTCAGCCACAAAGTCCTTTTTGGAGAGATAAGGTGCAGAGAATATGAGTGAAAGGTCTTTCTACTGTGTCTCCCATCAAGAGAAACCAAGATAACATAAAGAAGTATTAGGACATTATCACTTCTTGCATTAACCTGCATGAACCACTTTCACACAGAAACTTCAGACTTGAGACCTTTGGACATGAGAATCTTTATACCTGAAATTTCTACAGTACAAGTATTTTGCAGAATAACAGACTTAAGGTGGGAAAAATTTCAGTTGCATTACTTTCCTCAAATTATGAACTTCAGCATAAGAAATATATGTACATTTATAGCACCCCTTTTTCTGCCTATGATTCCTCATACATTATTGAGCCTATGGTTTTTAGAATTTTCTCATTGTCCCCAGATGCATCAATATGTATCTGAGTGGTAGGTAGATTCTGTGGCAAGAGCCCTAGCTCTGCTATCCATCTTGTCCATATCCGAGATCTGGGCGTACTGGTGCCCAGTGCTATTCCAATGTTTCAGCCCGAATACCTAGGGCAGTGGAGAGGAGGCGCTGTGGTAAGGAGGCAGAACATCTACTTTATAAATGCAGTGGTGCCAAGGCACAAGCGGAATCTGACCATGTTCGTGTTGTCAAATTTTCTTACCTTCCAAAATTGGGTGTATACACTCAAACCAGTTATTGGAAGTGGTCCCTGGCCTGTGTGGACTCTGACCATACTGGAAATTATACTGGAGAATGGTAATGGGTCAACACTTTAATGGGCTATTTCAACCTCAGAGACATTTAGCTCCATCGCTTAGTCCAGCCCCTCCCAATGCTACATGTTGCCTATGCTGCTGGAGCGTAGTCAGTGGTCAGGAGCTTGGAAGCACTCCATTAGGACTTGCAGTCCAGCTGTTACTTTTGACATCCTTGCAACAACATGAGAGTCTCAACAGACTTTTTCATGTTTCTAAAAGCTGTATATATATATGATTTTTTTTTTCTGGTGCTGTGAAGTATAAAAATGCATGAGGATTTAACACAAACCCTCAGGATCCTTTGTGGCAACACAGGACCTCACTCATGGGCTGTGATTATAAGACTTGATCTAACAAGATGATGCTACAGGAGAAACCCTGTAATGATGTAAGGTGATGTAATTATCTTTATTGGTTTTGGCTAAATCCAGAGGCCAAGCTGGAATAGGAAGATGCCAAAAAGAAGTGTAGCGAGTTTAGTTTACAGTCCAAGTAATGTATGCTGTGATCGTTAAACCACCCGAGTAACTAAATGAATGATTCTTGGGGAGGGAGGTCCTGTGCCAGGGCTAGGAGTGCTTTTATATGTCCCACCATATCTTATGGTTTGGGTTTAAAATACATTTGCAACAGGAAAATTATACTGTTAACAGGTATTTCTACCACTGAAAGATATAACTCTATCTAGTTTTGCTGAATCATGCTTTTGTAATATCTATTTTACTACTATTTACTTTCCAATTCCTGCAGATTGCTTCATTAAGAATCAGCATTTTAGCACTACTGGTAGTATTTGCATCAGACCGTTTGCACTGTAAAGGACCACGTAAATTAACAGCACAAACTATTAAGCTAATTAAAATTATATAGTTTTAATTGTAGTGTAATTTCAGTATAATCACTAGTCATAACTACAGTATGCAAACTGTTAGTTAGGACTCTACAGAATAGCAATAAAGTTACTAATTAAAGCTATAATTTTTAAGGCATTATGTTTTTCAAACTGTTAGGATCATAGCAACGTGCCATAGTCCATTACCAAACAAATGTACTTTCTGGTCACTCTGGTGAGCAAGTAATGTATTAAACAGACCTAATACTTAACAAATGTGAACTATGCCTCTGTTTTCATCCCATGCCAAAAAGCTCAGTCTAGAACCCTCTGTATCTTAAAAGCGTACAATTCCTTTATTTTCTCTAAAGGGAAATTCACATCTCCTTTGTATTCTGCCTCCATGTGGCTCCCAGTTAATGTGAATTATTTCCCCTTGCTTATTACATGACCCTTTTATACTACCCTGCTCCTCCCTTGCAGTAAACCCACCTGTCCATGGCCAGTAGCAGATTTCAGCTCCATACATGAGGATCAGAGAGACTGAAAACATGGAGGGGTCAACTATGCACAAGTCAAATCTGCTCCTACTGCTATTGGGCTTAGAAGAGAGAATATGCTGGTGAATACATGTTTCCTCTGCCTGGGCCCCTCCTGCTGCCAGTACAAGCCCTACTTTTCATTCCCTAGTGGAGCCCAGGTCCTTTCTTTGCTGTTTCTGGTCTTAGGGTACCTTTTCTCCTTCCCATGTGAGTTGCAGAAGGAGGAGAATAATTGTCCCTTATTTGTGGAGGCCGCAAGTAGTGGGCCTAAAACTCATGTTATTACACAGAAATGAAACTTGCACTTTGTTTTTAAATCATATATTTTTCCCTTGACTAATACTTCTGATAATTTAATTATTTATATTTTCTTTCTTCTTGCAAACTTCTCTCTCCTCTTTTGATCTATTCAATTTGGACTTATCAGTGTGTCTCATCA